GGGCATGGAACTAGGTTATGGGAAGTTACAAAGTGACAGAAAACTACAGCATGAAAAGGCATTAAGGATAATCGATCAATGCTGCTTTACTCCAATACTCTGTACTCGAGGTATCATAATCAAGAAGAAGAAGAAGAAGAAGAAGAAGAAGAAAAACACATTCACAACACACTTAATTCCCGACGCCCGTAATCCTCCATTCCATCCCTCATATAATCATCACTGTCTGTGCGTGCTACAATCGCCGGCCGGATCTTCGTCCCCACGAACCCACGCCGGTCTCGCCCCGTGCGTCCGCGTCCTAGCCAGTTGTGCTTCAGCTCCTTGCTCAGGATCTCGATCTGCTCCTGTGCTCGATCGCCTGTTTGCACGCTGGCCAACACGCTGACGCACTGGAGCATCCGTCCCACTGTCTCGGTAATGATGTGTGACGTGTCCGTGTGCGAGGACCGGTGGATGATACTGGGCCGTTGCGTGGGTGACGAGATTGATTGGAAGATCAACTGGTCCGGGTTTGACGTGTTGGACGCCGCCCGGCTGCGGTTGCAGTCTAGTGAGTCGGATGAGTAGCTGTTGGCCGCATTGAGGAGCGTCGACGACTGCGAGCTGTAGCTGCCGAACCCGCCGTCCAGCGAGGCCGATGTCGTCGGCCGCCCGCTGTTGCTGCTGCTCTTGGTTGTGACGCTCAGCGCTGCCGTGCCGAGCTTGATGCTGTCGAGACTCAAACGGGAAAACGTTGCCTTCAGCACGTCGTACCGGTACAGGATGACCATGTCGCGGAAGGCGATCAATACCAGGTTGCGCACGTCCAGCTCGCAGCCCGCGTACTCGCCGTTGAACGCAGACGCCCAGAACTCACTGGCTTCTCGTCGGTTCATCACGGACCCGCATCCCTTGAACTCTAGGTCTAGGGGCAGGAAGACAGCCTGAATGAATGGCAGGATCGTGCCAAACACGAGCATCCACACCTGTACCAGATGAGGGACCAGCTTCTCATCAGGAATACCATTCAGCGTATGGTTCAGGGAGGCGCATCCTGTCTCTAACAGCTCGCGCAAGTCGTCTACCACTGCGGTGGGCATGCGTTTCTGGACGCAACGCTGGATATGGATGAGGACTAGCTTATTGAGATCCTCGATGGCGATGCGAACATCCTCTCCGTCAAAAATGACCATGAGCTTGGCCTTGAGAAAGTCCCACGCATCTTCCGGCGTCATGTTATTCAGTCCAAAGCCCTGGAGGGTCTCCCGGAGAGCTGCCTCCGCCAGAACTCCCGTGGAGCTGCCCAGCGACGACGGCCCTGCAAACGTACCGGGCGCAGGTCCCGATGAGTTAGCCACCCAGTCCAGCTGTTCTGACTCTAACGCCTTCTCTTCCTTCTTCTTATCTCTTAACCCATGGAGCAGGTCCAAGCCGCTGACACTTTTCCCAAACGTAGTCGTCACCGCACCTGGCGATGCTGGGGTAAACGAGTACAATGACTGAGGGGCGTTCGGATCCGAAGGTTTAGAGTTACTCGACGCGGATGAAAGCGGCAGGTTGTAGTGATCATCTCGGTCTTTCAGCTTCAACTTCTGCCGCGACAAGAAGTGATGCTTGTGCTTATCCTTATCCTTCTCTTTCTCCTTCTCGCTCCCCACCGGCTTATCGGCGGGAACTACCGTACTCGCCGATGCATTCGACAAGTTGTACAGAGACGAATTATTCGAGGGAAACGTATCAGCCAAGCTTGTTGTCGACGCACTCACGATCCGTGATAACCCTCCGCTCGGAAACCCCATCTTACTCGGTGACGGCAGGCCCCGGTCCTTGCTAATTCCGTCTTTATCCCGACTTATCCCAATGTGTTTCGGTTTCGAGAACAGCTTCATCTTCGATTTCTCGCCCTTGTGCTTGTGCTCCCGCTCTACGGGCATCTCCAACCCGGGCGGCTGCAGCGCCGGATTGCGAGGAAACACTACATTTGCCGCCGTCGTTGCGGCATGTGTATTCCCACTGGTAGACCCACTCTGATATGATGCCCCGGACGCACTTCCCGAGCTTGTTGGGGGCGCAAATAACGGCGCTGGAGGCGGCGGGGGCGGAGGGGAAGCACTCCCGCCTCGTCGGGACCGGGAACCGTCTTCGGATACACCCCGCACTGGGGGAGGACGCTTGGGAGGATTCTGGGGAGCAGTCTGCTGTTGCTGAAGCATGGCCGCCTGGGCTGCGATTCTGGAGGCGGATATGGTAGCCTCGGAGGAGGACGCCGTGGGGAGGGACGGCTCGAAGAAGCCCTGCGAGTGGTGACGAGAGCGTCTCTGCAGTTCCGGCGGGCCACCGCGACCCGACGGTTTCCTGCTCAGAATCTCACCATGAGGCATGAAGGAGACGGGTGATCGAATGGTAGAAGAAGAAGAAGAGGAGGTATTGGTGTTTGTGGTGGCGGTCGAGATGGGAGGAGGAGCGGTGGTGTTGGCGGTGATGGATGAGGTACGTGGAGGACGAGGAGAGGAGGTCACCGACACGGCACCGGGATTGAAGGCAGAGTGACGCGGCGAGATGGTGGTCACATTGGAAGTAATCGAGGAGGCATCACTGCCTGAGGAAGCTGGGCGGGCGTAGGAGAAGTCGTCGAAGGAGCGGCGAGGGGGCTGTGAGAGTGGAGGAGGAGGAAGAGGTGAGCGAGACGAGGATCGCTCGGGCGACACCGGCGAGCGCAACATGGTGTGAGCGAATAGATGGCTTCGGAGACTATGCTATCGAGACACAAACCCCGAACCCATGATAATGAGGGGAGGGAGAAAAGTACTAGTAGTGCTGGCGGCGAAAACCAATCTAGATCCCCTGGATTGATTGATTGCTTGTTTGGCTTTCAGCCGCCTTGGGGAGGATCAGCAAACCGAAGAGGCGCCCGGCCGGACGATCTTCGCTCGTGAAACAAATCCAGCGCAAAGCAAGGCTCCCCTCCCGCCCGCACGTCCTTTTCTTTCTCCAACTTTATCCATCCCACTTGATTCCTTCCCCCTCACGACAATACGCATACATTGATTTTTATCTATTCTCTTCGCCAACGCAATCCATCACTATGTCTGCCAACAAGCTTCACGCTGCCTATGTCGCCCCCGACCAGTCTCGCACCTTCGAGCACAGCATTTCTTCCCCGCTCCCCTCCGCCGACGCCGTCCCTCAGAAGGTGACCTATCTCGCTGAACTACGCAAGCTCGTACCCACTCTGCAGAACGACATCAACGTATTCCTGACCGAGCGTATGGAAGAGGACAAGAAGGCCGCCGAGGCACAGGGTCGCAAGGTCTCTGACGAGGAAGCCAAGGAAGAGGAGAACTACGGAGAGGAGGTTGTGGAAGAGGATGCTTGATCCTGTCGCACCCACAAGTGAGACGGTTGAGAGCGTGGAGACTACGAGGCTGACGAGGAACGAATCACGACTAAATAAATCATATGCATTGGATCCTTGAATACCGCTATCCCGGGGTATCATCGTGTAGGAAATGTCCGCCACTCCGGTATGCTTTCGTTGAACAAGACATGGCCAGGAAATGCGGAAAGGGAGATCAGGAACCTCAAAAGAAAAGACAACCAGAAAACGCAGACAGAAAAACCTCAATAACCGATACCACAACAAACCTCTATATACATACAAATCAGGCTCAACGCATGCGATTGGCACAGCCAAGATGGACAACCGTATTACTGCCTCAATTAGCCATGCTCAAGTCAACAGAATCTGGCCATACTTACTCCGGAAACACATTAATCACACTGCCTCCGATCCGCTTGTGGCAGATGCCGCAGACCCGCTCTTCGGTGATGGTGACATGTCGTGAGCGCGTCGATCGCCCGTCCGTTCCCTCTCCTACCAATAACTGCGCCTGTGTCTTGATGTCTTCTGCCTTTTGAAGGTTGGCCACGATCCGGCTCTCGTTAAGGATTGTGTTGGCGGCCCGCATACGGCCCTTGAAATAGAACTCGAGCTCCTTGACCGGGAGCGATTCTGGGATCAGATCCAGAGCAGAATTGGGTGGCAGCCGGGATCCATGTTTGGCCAGCACCTCAAGCGCGGGCCCGTACCGTGGCTTGTAGCCATGCGGCGGAGATAGATATAGAGACAATAGAGTCAAATAAATCGATGGTTTGTCATCTTCGTATGGTAGTAGAGCTACGCAGCGCGAAACCGATCCATCCGCAGCAGTCGTATCCTCCACTTTATGGAGATGATTACAGTATCTGAACGGTCAGCAGAACTCATGTATATCGATCAATGCAACTCACTCTTCAGCCTTGACGTAGTCTTCCAACTTGAATACATAAATCTCCAGTGCCTGCCGGTGTTGCCCCATCTTGCTGAAGACAATCGCTCGTGCCTCGAAGAATTCAGGATCTTTCTACAAGTCAGCAACGCAATGTAAGCGCAAGGAGGGTACTCACCGTCTCGGTCCAATCGATCCAGAATCTTAGCCGGAGAATACTGAGAGCTGGACCTGAGCATATTCAAGAACTTGCTCTGCCAATTAACATAGTCATCCAGACTAGAGAACTCCCACTCTTTAGCCTGGTGCTTCTTCAGCCGGTTCAAGTACAGGATGAGCAGTTTCTGATGCAGATCCGGTGTCATATCATTCAACTCCCCAATGATATGCTCCAGGTAGCGGACGGCCAGATTGACATCAATGCCCTGCAGGAAGTCTAGCACTCGTTCCCGCGGCAGCGTCTCCGCGTTCTCCGTATCTGCCAGGAATATCTCCATGCCCAGCTCAGGATCCTGTCGTACTGGCCATTCAGCGAACTCGAGGATCAAGTCAATATGGTCTGGAGACAGATTCTGTAGATAATTGACTGTTCGCTTCGGCCCGTGCAGCTGCGGCGCCGTCTCTTCTTCATCGTCGGCCTGTCCGAACTTCTGAAGCAGCTCCAACGCTTGTCGGTGCAGCTTCTTTCCGTACAAAAAGTCAATCAGATCGTTGTGACGCCCCGTCTCCTCCAATTTTTCCATCACCACATCTGGATCACAGAAGTTGGCAATGCGGAACAACGAGCCTGCCAGAGCTGGAATAGCGTACATGTACGCTCGGAAGAGAGTCGTGTCCACGAGCCTGGCCTTTTCCCGCAGCTTCTCCCCGAGATCGTACTCACCCTCCGGATCAATGCTCAGCAGCTTCATGACCGAGTCCGTTAAGGCATCGTTCGCGCCGTCCGTCGTCGCATCAATCACCTTTAGCGTGCCATCCGGGTTCAAGAAGCGCTGGAACCGCCTCCGCACATCTGCCAGATATCTCTGCAGGTCACGAACAGCCAGCTTGAGATCGGCACCTTCCAGCGCCTTGTCGTTCTTGGCCTCCTCGACAACCTTGCCACGAATACTGCCCGCATCACTGCCGTCATCTGTCCGCGTCCGTAAAAGTGACATCACAGACGGAGCATGCGAGAGTGTCTTCGGCGCTGGCGTTTCCTCCGTAGCCGGCGCGTCCGTCGGGTTGTTGTTCTCCTGCGTCTTGGGCTGGCTGTCTGTCGTTCCATCTTCTGACTCCTCCGGCTCCTCAACAATCGACGACAGCTCCCCGGCGATGATCTTCGGATACAGTCGTATCACCGTCTCCGGAGGCGCAGATATCTCCGTAAACAGATCCATCGAATCGGTGTACTTTCGCATCTTGAACAGCCCTTCAGCCTTCTCCAGCTTGATCTGGCGCAGCCGGCCCTGCTTATCCCTCAGCAGCGCATCCTCCAGCATACTGGCCAGACTGATCGCTTCGTCCAGATACCCCTTCTCGACCAGCGAGTCAATCTGCGTATCATAACTCAGCGCCTCCATCCGCCATATCGTCCGATCACTCGCCACCAAGAACCCCTTCCCAGCATGCGCCAGACTAATCGTTGGCTGCGGGATATGCATAATACTTGCTGATGGCAACGGAACCGACTGCAACAGCGACAACGTCTCCGGATTTCGTACCTCCAACACTCCCTTCGAGGAATCATGCAGCGCCAACAAGAACGGATACGAGTACCCAATATCCGCCGGCGCATGACTCCACGGAATTTGTCTCCTCCCCAGCGAATTTCCCTGCACATCAATAAAATGCGTGTTAATATCCTTAGCCAGCAACACCTGGCCCTCCTTCAACCTCGTCGCCAACGGCTTCGGCGCACTGCCCCCAAGCCCCATATAACTCATACTGGCGACCCCCACCCCGGCCAACCTCCCCGTACTCTCCTGTCCCCCTAACCCCCCTATCCCAGACGGACCAGTCAAATCCGTCACCGTCCCACCACTACCCCCCTCAATATCAACCATCACAAACCCCGACCCCAACCCAGCCACCAACCTCGTCCCAGACACCCACGTCAGCGTCTTAATCCCACTGACAAGCGTCATCTCCATAGGCACGCCCCCTTCCATCTCCATATCCCGCCACACCCACAGCATTATCTTCCTCTTCACCGCCACCGCCACCCTCGACACGATAGCAGGCACTCCCGTTTCGGAATCATTCTCGATATTCGACGTCACCGCAAACGTCGTCGCCCCCTTCGTCTTCCCCAATTGCTCCTGCAACGCATACGTCCCTAGATCATGCAGCGAGACATATCCCCCAGATAGAGAAACAAGCACCTTGGCTTCCTTAATCAGCGCCAACTGCTCGATCTTGTATCGTGAGAACTTCTCCACTTCGCGTAGTAGCTCCGTGGGTTTCTTGTGCTCCCGGGTGCCGTTCGTAGTTCCGTTCGTGATTATCCCTGCCTCTCCATTGCCATTCCCTTGTTGATCGGTATCTTTCTTCCCCCCCTTCCCTGTATCCTGACCATGCTGCTCATGTTGCTGTCCTTCACCCCCCTCTTCTCCCTCTTCTGGTTCCTCTTCCTGCTCATTCACGCGATATATCCTCAACGACCCATTATTCAGCCCCGCCAGCACGCGGTCCCCATACGCCAGCACGGATTCGATCCGTGAGCGGTCGCGCGGTTTGAGTTCCACCAGGGGGCGGGCTGTGAATGCGGATAGCATCTTCTTCTTCTTCGCCTTCGTAATATCTTTCCTTCGGAAAAGTAATAAGCGGTTGTATGTTCGTGTATATATTCAAATTATCGGTGGGGTATAGTGCGGTGTGCTGGCTAGCTAGCTAGCTAGCTCGGTAAGTCGTAGAGGATGGATGCTCGGGAAGGAGGTGTGAGGTAAGTGGGTAATGCGCCGTTCGCGATCGGGGGTAGGTTCATGTCATGTCGTGGCTATGGTACTGTGCAATTAATTTCGAGGTGGAGTTAGAAGGTGTAGGTGGGTGTCATGGTGTGGAAGTTGTTGTATGTAGGTAGGTAGGTGAGTGATGTGGTGCTGCGGTGCAGTGCGGTGGTTGGGCGGAGGTTGATAGCGGAGCTCCTAGTACTACGGGCGGAGGAGTCCAGCTGGACCGGACAGCTGCACACTCCCCCGGGCCGCGCCAAGATGGGTTTCCCCGTCTGTCTGTGCTACAACTACATTCTGTATTTGCTTGTGACAGCATCCCTTGCGTGTCATTTATTAAGAAATGTCTTGTAGCTTAATGATTACATCAACGTTGTCTTGAGTATCTAGTCTATTATGCTAAGCTAACCGATGGATGGATGTCCTGCACACACCGCTACTATCCCATCCATGGATGTGCCATCCGCTGGCTTAAAGCTCCGATCCCATGCAATGAATCAATTCCATAACTGCCCAACCGACCGATCAAAACCCATAACACAGCCCGACGGACCGCAGCGACAAGGAATCCGGACTTTTGCAAATATCAAGACCAAAGAATGGAGAAAACGCACGGCGCATGTACAATGTGAAGGGTAAGCCGATTCCCGACCGGGAATATGAGAATGGCAAAACCGATAGGTAGGATAACTATATGACCGGAAAGGTCGATTGTGTTTCGGACTATTCAGGATAATAATAATAGTCGTCCGAATGCCTCTCAGATCATGCCTTGATCTCCGTGGGGTATTCCTGGTGTTTGGCCGACGTGCCCTTCGCACGCCATGTCGAGACGGCGGGAATGTCTGCCTTGAACCGCTGCTCCTCAGTGCCGTATGCGCGCGGCGTGAGCTTGATTAGCGTGTGGAGCGGCACCTCCATCCAAGGACTTTGCTCCTGCGGCGTGTTGAGGAAGTAGGCATAGATGCAGCGGAGAACAGCCTGGTGCGTGACAATGATGACATTCTCGCTACGCTCCAGCTCCATGATAATTGGCTCCAGCCGGATGACCACATCGCGGTATGACTCGCCACCCCGGTAGCGGTAGTTGTACTTGTCCTCGTCGCGCGCCGCAAAGTCTTCCGGGTACTTTTCCGCAATCTGCTCGTACGTGAGTCCGTCGCAGACCCCGGAGTCAAGTTCGTCTAGCGCCTTCCATTCTAGCTTCTCGAAGCCCGTCTCCGCGGCGAGATGACGAGCCGTCTGAATCGTACGTTTCAAAGTTGACGTCCAGATAACGATCTTGGTGTTGGGTGGCACCCCAGACTTCTTTAACAACCCAGGCAGCGCGCGGGCATATGCCTCTCCACGTTCCGAAATGTTGGAGTCGCCGCCGATTTTCCCCGTCAGGTTATATTCTGACTCGCCGTGCTACACAAGTTAGACCAACTCTGTATACTGATGTAGGAATAACTTACCCTAGATAACCAGATCGAGCGAGGTTTAATGTGAAGGTTCTGGATGTAGTATACTAGCCGACTGGAAAGATAATCCTTAATCTGATTTATGATGACGGTCGATCCGACATTGATGAGCTTGACGTAGGTGAAGTGCTTCTCGTTATCGTCAATGGTCTCATAGACCTTCTCGTAATTGCGAATGCGGTTACGGAAATCAAGAGCAGCAACTTCCGGGTCCTGCCCCTTGTAATCAGGCGACGTTGTCTTGACTTCCAGAATGTTGTTCATAATCAAATCTTCATCGTCACATATTGACTCGACGTATAATGTTTCGACGTTTGCCTCTTGGCAGCGTTCATGGATCCAGCGCCGTCGCTCTTTCGTAGAATTGGTCGCATCCAGGATAGCTACGACGCCTTTCCCGGACTGAAACCACTGGAGCATATCAGACACCGCAGCCTCGGCGGCGGCGCGCCTCATTTTTTCGCCTTCGGTATTATGAGGGTCGAAGAAATTCGCATTGGGCTGTGGCGTGCCTGCACGACGGTAGCTGCCGACGTTGAATACCCGAGCGGGGATGCCAACCCAGGCAAGATATCGCATGGCTGCATCAGTTAGAGCCTGACTGACGTGAATAAACAAAATGACTAGCAGCGTACCTTTTCCAGCTATAAGACTCTTGCCTCTGGCTGGGAGGCCAACCATGACCACACAAATTTTGGAGTCATCGGACTAAGGAGAGTAAGTCTTTCTGGAGTGTGGCCATGCGGAACGACGTAGATGCTCATATTGAGGAGAGTAGAATGTTGCGACGAAATAGACATGGCACAGAATAAACACGCAGCATTGCAGTGCAATGAGTTTAGGGTCACTGCAGAACCGGGCAATTACCCCTCCCAAAAGGAGGGGTATACAGCCTCACCGAACGCATGCCAGGGGAGTACATAACGTCACCGGCAACACCGGGTCACCGCGCCACTCAACCAACAGACAACGACAAAATAACCGTTTCACTTACGCTGGCGAAATATGTCTTATGGCCATTGCCCCTCCGAATGGAACCGGACGACATGATGAATGAGCGGGCGAAATGAGCAGGGAATCGACTCCTGACTGGAATTGACTTGGAAGCGGATGAGGCAAACTCAAGACCTCGGCCACCAGGGGTGCCCGACGGGACGCAAGCCGGGAGAAAGGATGTAGGACGGATAAGATCAGTAGCGGGTAAAAAGCACAGGGCGTGAGAGTAGCGAAAGAGTGATAAATCTGCAAGTAATGGACGTGTCGGGGGGAAGAAATCGTTCTAGAAAGTTGAGTTTGGACAGATCCGGCCTGTCTTGGTATGGGGGAGTAGGAATAGCAAGTAGTACAAAAGTAGTGGAAGTAGTCAATTGATCAACAGCAGCTCTGGTTGGATGCCATTAAACCCAACAGTCGATGCGGTGAAGAACGAGAAGCACAGACGTCATGCCGCGGGGCAATCGCAACAAGGCCGTCAAGGCAGGAATTATCCAGTCCTTTAGATTGATTCACTCCTTGAATGGAAATCGAAGAAGTTCAGAACACCTCTGGAAAACTTCGATCGCAGGACATCCGGGGAGATGGTAAATTTCCCCAGTCTTGCCTGATCGTCTGGCCCCCCGACTATTTCCCTCCGAATGGAACTAGTATTGCCTCCTTCTGTCCACACGTGATCTCCTGCGTTTTCGTCGGGTAAAATCGCGACCAAATTTGGATGGAAGAGGGGCGCGTCGGGATGGAGTCTGAATCTGGACGTGAAATCGGGGTGCAAAGTTCCCAGTTCCTGGGAGGCTCCCCTGGTGACACTTCTTATAGTCGAGGATCGCATGATAATGATACTACCCTGTATGATCTTGAATGATTTGATATCCAATGGAGCCACGCCGATTGGGTCCCTTGCATGTCTCCCTGGTGGGACTTTGGACGACTATCAGCCGAACTCCTCATTACCCCGTACTCCTGGGGTCGATTTACATGAGCGATTTTTCACCATAGTCTGGACCCAATGAGCCCAATATTGGGTGATGCTCCGGTCGATTCCGTCTAGTTTGCGGGAATTGAAGTTTTCACGAGTGCGCGTGACCTATACAAACTACTACATACTATCTACTGCCAGATATACCCGAAAAGGAAAACGTAGCGGGAGATATTCATGAGTGATTATGTGCATTTGTGGATATTATAGATAGGTAAATCCCAAGCGTCCTGCTATGCAATGCTTTTTCCGGCCATCGGGCCGATATTTTTAACCGTATCCTCCCCCCTTTTTTTAGTGTCCGTCTCCGTCTCATATCCGTACGGTAGATGCGTAGCCCTACGGGTACAAAGTTCGAGGCCATCGATAAATGCTTCAGCGCGGGTTAAGCAGCCCTGCTAAGCATCGCCCCTTTCCGCAGACCCATGGCGTGCCATTGGCTCCCGGTCCGCGGCTTATCAACGGAGGCGGAGGCGGATGAGCGTACTTCGTAACTTCTTTTTTTGGGGGTGGCAGCCCCTTATTCATATCGTAACAACGTCAGGCATCTATTTTTAGTGTTCGGGGGTGAAGTCTTGTTCCCATGATGGATGATTGCTCAGATGTGTCGCGCTAGTGAGACGACTATGCAGCGACTGCAACCTCCTCAGCAGCCGGGGTGGCTTCGTCCCGGCTGGACGACCACTTGGGTCTCCGCTCTTGCGAGTTGTTCTCTCCACGGGCTCTCTGAACCCTGAGGACGGCACCCCAGGGACCTTCCGCCCGGTTCAGAGCGTTCATGGCGTTCTCAGCCTCCTCGACGCTGCTGAAATCGACGAACAGGTAGTAGTGGTCACCGGGCTCGAACCTCTTCGCGGGGTGGGGAGCGAACAGCTTGCTGACATTCTCACTATACAGCCAGGTTAGCATATCCCGAACAATCAACGCACTCAAGACTGATCCATACACATTGTAATCCTTGAAGAAGTTGGTCATGTTGCTGGTGATGGCCTCCTGGTCCGTCAACCTCGGCAGGCCGCCAACATAGAGGCGACGGCTGGGATCACTGTTTGAGGGGGTGCTGGCGGTGGTGGTGGTAGTGGTCTTCGAGGGAGTGCGCGGGGGCTGGGCCTCGTCACCGCGGCGCCAACGGTCCATGCTGAACGGAGAAGACCGCGTCTCACGAGGGGAGGCATCGGAGCGCTGCTGCTGTTGCTGCTGTTGCTGAGCCCGTTCACTCTGGGTCTTCACGACACCGGGCTTGATCTTGACGGGACGACCAAGCATGTCCCGACCGTCCAATTCCGTCATGGCGCGCTCAGCCAGCTCCTTGGTCTCCAGATCGACGAAACAGTATGAGGGGTTACGGCCGGTGAAAGGATCGATGGCGATGTCGATACGCTCGCTATTAAGCACTCAGTTTGGAACTCCCACGGTTGTCTTCAGTTCAAAGAATCCATACATTCGGAACTCAGCCGCATCGAAGAGAGCCTGCACATCCTCCGACTTGGCCGTGTAGGGCATGTTGCCCACATAGAGACGGCGACCCTCCGAAATAGCCTGGGGCACATGCGGGCTGGGTCTGCTGAATGCGAGTCTCGAGGTGCTTGTCTTGGGACCGGGGGATCCGGCAGCGGCGTTCTGCCCACTAGGGCTCTCTTCGCGCTTCACACGCCAGTTGGGAGAGTGGAAGGCCCGGCCTGTGGTTCTCACCCCATTCTGGTAGACATTCTTTTGGGGAGCTAGGCACGCATTAGCGATTTAGGATATGGCCTTGAAAAAATTGGATCCAGCCCCAGATGAGCAGCCCAATGCGATCGCCTACACACTTTGTTCCTGGGGCCTCGGGCTCTCGGGAGCGTCGACCATTGTGACGGTAGAATATGGAGTGAGGGGTGGAGGGGTATAGTCTATCGATCCAAAGTTCGTTAGTATGGATTGACACAGAATTTACTTATTTCCTAATCGGACAGAGACGATCACGATCATGAAGAGAGGGGATTCATACCGGTGAACAGGACAAAAGAAGCGTCACAGAAAAGCCAACGTCTGCCTTCCAGAAAATTCCCAAGGCAAGATAAAACCCCCGAACAACAAAAAGAGTGAAAGTCAACACTGAAAAAACGTCGACGCTGTAGCCTGCGTCAGAAAATTGCCCTCTACATTTTTTTGATGCGAAATGAAACCAAACAGCGCAAATGCCGCAAACAGCGCAAACAGCTGGAGATGGATTAATCTCTGCGCTGCCGATGATTGGCCTGTTAGCGAACCGGGGGAGATTTTCATCATATAAAGCCGCCCTTTGTTTTCTTCTCATTCCTTCTTCCTAACAGCGTTAATATTCTTCCCTGCAGCGGGATTGAATCAACTCAGATATCTATGTTACTCGCTATGGTGACTGTTTAAGAAACAGTCATCTGACAGCTCTCAAGCCACGGGATTAATGCATTCCGTCAGCTGCTCAGCAGACTTGCAAAAATGTCGCCAATATTCAATTTTCCATTTTGTTTATTGCATGTTTTTTCATTTGCAGCGTTCCACACCCATACAAGTCATCCTTCAATGATGAAGCAAGATTTCACACAGACCTGTTCCGAGTTTATAAAACATGCGGATCAACAATCGTTCCAACTGCTGTCTGACGATGTGATGACTTGTATCCCCTTGCACTTATCCAAGATAGATTTCAAAAAGAGAAATGATACCTATACTCGTGAAATTGATTCCATGTTGTAAATGCTTAGTAAAAAACATGCACTCATCACTTTAGAGACTTGTATGGTATTTTGTATGTGCATTGCACGTGGTAACATATGGCACATGACATGCGGGTTCTCCACGACGATCTATCTGCTTTAGAGATCCAATAGAGGGCAAATAGTAGTTATATTACTGTCCTTGCCTGATACCATTAATTGAGATAAGCAGCCCTAGCAGTACTCGGTTTAATTGATTGTTCATCGATGCCAACAACAGTCCCTACACTTGAGTACTACGCCCGAGCCAACTCAACTTATTCACTCTCAGGAGACAAATGAATATAATAATATAAATACTAAATTCAAAGTTGAATTTTATATTCTCAAGGACCACCAGAGAACAAAGAAAACCTCGTCACTCATATACATCATGCTATTTACACACCATCCACCACAATGATAACCATCACCTCTTCAACCCCAAAAACGCACCCCCCAACGCCCCAAACACCAGCACATGCAACAACACCCCCAGCCCAGACATAAGCAACAACACCCACCCCTGCAACTCATTCTTAACCACGACCTCCGAATACCGCTGATCACTAAAGCTAACCCTCGAATACAGCGTCCTCCACCCCAATAGGGGCACATACCTCTGCAGCGCCTCCTCAACAAACTTCCTCGCCTTGTAAACAGGAGAGTTAACCCCACCGCGTAACTCAAGATAATTCCTCCTCGAGAGGTCATGAATAGCATGTGCATCGCGAACCCGCTGGTTCGAGTACTCCGTTAACGCAGCAGCGCGGGCATGGTCCTTGTCCAATGACTTGCCATGGCCGAACACGCGATGCTCGTCCAGCAAATCAAACAGGATCCTCACATCTTCCATCCCCGCGTTCAATCCCTGTCCGTAGAACGGGAACATGGCGTGTGCGGCATCGCCGATGATGACGGCCGCTGAGCCAAGGTGGTGCGGGCTGCATTTTATGCCGATGAGGGGGAGGTGCGGGCTTTGGTAGAATTGCTGGGAGAGGGAGGACTGGGAGATCAGGTCTGGACAGACGCCTGGGAAATGGGTGTCAAAGAAGTCGAAGAGGGTGGCGGGAGGGGAGGATTTCAGGGCGTCGAGCCGGGACGCTGGCGCGAAGAGGATGCAATTGAAGGATTGGTCTGGGCAGGGGAACGCGCAGAACATGTATTCGCCTCCGGGCCAGATGTGGAGGTAGTTGGGGGGTAGACGGAAGGAGTTGGTTTTTTCGGTGGGAGGGATGCGTAGTTCGCACCAGACTGTGTCGGCGTATTGTTGTTGGTAGTCCAGGGGGGTGTAGCGCATTATTTGTTGTCTGGTGGTGGAGTGAGCGCCGTCGGCGCCGATGAGGAAGTCGAAGGGGACTTCTTTTGGTGTTGATGAGGTGGATGGGGATGTGCTGGTGCTGGGATCTTCTCTTTGCTCGAACCAGACCTTACGGGTGTTCATGTCTGCTCGGATGAGCTTGTGGTGGAAGAACATCTTGACGTTGGGGGTGGCGTCGAGCTCTTGACGGAGGGCTATGTTGAGGGCCTTGCGGTCCAGGGAGTATAGGGAGTTCCCGTGTACGTCGTATTGGTGGAATGTCTCTTGGAGTTTCCCTGAGACGCTTCTTCCGTGGACCATTCTACCGTGCATGGGGATGGCAGTCCGCATGATGGCACGAAGAAGGTCGGTTCGACCAGACTTCTCGAGGGCTCTGATGCCCCGCTCGGATAGAGTGAAGTTGATTGATTTCTGGAGCAGGGGAGAGGCACCTGCTGGATTCTGCCGCTCATCTAGGGAAAAATCAGTTAGCTGGATGTATGGGTATGAGAGCTCGTTGGGAAGTACGGACCGCCACGAAGTTCGTAAACTTCTACATTGTCATGGTAGTGGCTGGCATAGAGGGCTGCCAGGGAGCCCACTGGCCCACCGCCAACGATGACAATCTTTCCGTCTGCAGTCATTGTAGTCATATTTATTGTCATTGGAGACTAGGATGATATCTTCTGGTATACTCACAGGGGAGAAGAGGAGTGGTCTTATATAGCCGGAGCAAGCCCTCGAGTTACGCAATATGAACCATCAAGAATTTTGCACAAAGTCTATACTGGCAACGGCCGTAGCACTTGTCTCATCTCCGACGCTTTACCGTCATCAGGCAGGTAGAGCCACGAGATCATCATGAGAGAGCAACCATGTGGGCCACCGCTCAGCCGTACGTGCATCTTGCTCCGAGTATTACACGAGCAATGTATTGTAGGTAAAGAGCGGCACGTTCAAGGCCGCATGTTAGTGGGTTGTATGTATGCAGCTGTGACGACGAATATGCATTGACGTAGGCGAGGAGCTGAACTCAATTCCAACTAGCCAGACATCAGTCAAGGATATGAGAGTAAAGGGCATTGTAGATACAGTAACAATGCAGACTTGTCGATGCAAGTCATGTGGAGACAAACATAACTAGTACTCCATAGTTTACTAAGTAGGTAGACGGAATTGCTCAAACCCCGAAGGATCGCAAGTATCCAACAACACCACATCCTTGGCTAATATTAATCGAGCTCTGGGCAACGATGCAACACACTACATACTAATTATTCCAATTAGGTAGAGGTGATGTACTCAGCTGAAATGCACGTTGTCGTTGGCGCGAAGGTTTGAGCGCAAACGGAAACCCCATCATTGGACACCTTACGATGCAACCCCTCCTCCTTGCATACCGAGTTTAAGCATCGTTGGAACACGGACGAACCCACTTCAGCTTCAATCAACCATACAATCTAATTAGAAATCAGTTACGGTCAGGTTACCCATTTCCGCCCCGTGGGACCTAAACTAAAGCATACCTGCAAGTCCAGCCCGACGTTTATGACCTATCCACCACGACCTTCGAATGTAGTAAGTGTACATACTTTAATCCATATAAACATACCTACATCCTCGAACTTACTGCACGCCATGCAGAAACAATCCTTCAGCCAACTCACTCAAACACCTACAACTCGTTATCAAATAATCTCCGAAATCAATAAACCCTGCACCTTGCGCCCAAAAAATGCCAAAAACACCCAGAACCAACACCATTGATAAATTCACCTTCACACGCCCCGGCGACGTTGTCTACGAATTTCCCAAATACACCTCCGCCTCCTGCAAAGTCCGCATCACTCTGCCCCCGGGCAGCACCTGGACCTCAGGCCCACACTGGCACGAAAAGCGCGTCGAATACTTCCGCGTCGTGCAAGGCGCCGCCTGGTTCACTCTCAACGGGGAATACAAAGTCTATCGGCCGTCCGACGGCAACGTGCCGATCCCATTATTCACAGTCCACGAATGGGGTCGGGCTCCCGAGCAAGAAGAGGGGGACTTAATCGTCGATGAGTGGACGGCACCGGCCGATTCGTTCAAGATTGCGTTTTTCCGTAACTTGAATAGTGTCATTCTGGATGAAACGAGTGATGGGAAGACACCCCCGAGGAGTGAGTGGTGGTTGACGCTGCAGCTGTGGGTGATTTGCCATGGGTTGGATAATTGGCCGGTTTTTTGTAGAGGGTTGTTTGGCGTGCAGTGGGTTGTCACGCATGTGTTCTTGGCTGTGGTTGCGTTGGTGGGTTGGGCGGTCTGGGGGTTGAGGGCCGCTTATGATGAGTATACGGCGCAGAGCATCAAGGATGTCATTAGAGCTGCTAAGGAGGGGAAGAGGGTCAAGAGACATTGATTGATTGCATACTGCTTTGTGTATAGTGTTTGCCACGTCAAGCTTGGACGTGGGATGAACGTTAGGCCTCCTGCATGAATTTGATACTATCGGTTGCCAAGCTATGCAGTTCTAGTAGTTTACATTTACCACACAGTCGGTATTAGTCAAAGATTCAAATTGATCTTTGAGCTACAGTCAAAGTAAACTCTTTCGTTCAGTTGAATTCAGCAGGTATTGACCTTGTGATGTTAGCGGTGATCGGCGGATAGCCACCACAGCGCTGGCCCACATCATCATTTGCCCAAAACCAACTAACTCGGAGACCGTCTGTTTTGGGCCTCCGGATAGTCTAGTCTGCTAAGTATCGACGCCAAATGCAGCTACTCCAACGGTAACTGACACTACGGATTTACTCTTCTTAGCCGACACTCGCTGTATATGAAGGATTAGCCGAGAAGGCGAATAATCGGAATTTCCGAGGAGGGATATACCATCGATCCCTGCTCCCGACTGCTATCTAGTAGCTAGTGTGCAAAGTCCTCATCGAGAGGCGATCAGATTGGACGGACAAGATAACTACAGTATACTAGGTAGGTGGGCCAGAGTTCAGCTCAGCCCAGCTCCGCACTTTATTTTCTCACCTATCAGCTGCTCGGTGATACTCTGTTTAGATGATGGAATCTTATAATCATATCCTGTGTACGTATACTATCTTAGATTAAACCATACAAAGCAATAAGGAAATAATTTCCGATCCTAATCTCGACTACTAGCACCCATCCATACCACTAGTGACTGAGTGACTATATATGAAGGAGTCCCCACTAGTTGAAACCAAACTTACTACTAGTATCATAATACTATACCCCACCTATCCATGCATACAAGGACTTATGCCTCTTCTTGGTTAGTATAGACATACCGAGGATATTAATACATCATGTATACCATATATGCCTCAGTTCAAGATCTTATCGATCGAATCATGTGGATGCTTTCTCCGGGCCCGACCATGATTCAGCTGAGGTGGGGGGCGTCATGGTTGCTAGGTATTAGCGCCGCGTTAGTTAGTATACCCACTATGCGTAATCGCCCAGGCACGGGCGACTTTGCCACCTTGGTTGCCACTGCAGGGGGATTTCCGTGGAGGGGATGGGAATGCGTTATTGCGTTTTGTTACGATTGGGTTCGTGCGGGGTCGATGGAGAGGAGAATAATAGACATTTGAGAATGAGCAATGATTTGGTGTAGGATCAACGGTGCATTGTTGATTGGGATTATGACTGAATCAGGAATACTTTTGGCGGTCTAGTTGATTGATTAAGATTTATTTGACAAAGCAATTGCTCGACAACTCTGCTACAAGCTAAGCAACATGATCATACCATATCCTCCAGTTCGTGTAGACCTTCATACATAAGACCATCAATCATGACATGAGATTTTCGAAAGATTCAGCGACATCGTCAGGCAGTATTGTAGCCAGCCTCGGTCATGGGAACCTCGTCATCTCGCTCATACAGGATCTCCGGGCGGACTCTTTGACGTAAAATGTACCTTCGGAAAAAGTAAGGAATCTGGCGAAGACCGTATGCGGCATGGAAGCGTGTGGGAACTGAAAAGACTTGGTCCAGTTCTTCTAGCGTCTTCCCCTTGGTCTCGGGCATGAACATCAGGATCAGCCACCACCCGACGATGCACCACCCCGCGTACCAGCTGAATGCCCCCTGCGGAGTAAATGCCGCACGCAGAGATGGCCAGGTGATGGCTAGCAGACAATTGAACAGCCATGTCGTCGCAGTCGCCAAGGCCATGCCGTGGGAACGGACGTAAAGTGGGTAGGCTTCGGCGGAATAGGTAAATGGTACTGGACCCTCCCCGACAGAATACACTATCGCGAATAGATATGTGCCTAATGCAATACATCCAAGCCTGGCTGAAGAGTGCGTATCTTCCGGTATCCAGAAGCTAAAGCCGGTGAAGAACATGGACAAAGCCATTAGAGGAAAGGTGGTGAGGAGAAGGTTGCGACGGCCAAAGGTATCAATTGTGTATACAGCCGGTATAGCGAAAAGCCAGTTGATCATACCCCAGCCAAAAGATGCTGCTAGTGCCTTTCGCTGGTTTGATACGGACAACTGTGTCAGAGAGTTTCCCGTAGTCCCGAGAAAGATCTCGGATGAATAGTAGGCAATAACATTCACACCTGCAGGACGGTTAGTACGTTGCATTCTGGGGATTCTCGGTAACTTACCGCAGAACTAATGCAATCAGTTAGCAGGAGCTTAGTTGCAGTAGGGAGTTGACATACCTGTTGCATGAACATGACCAGCTCCGATGCAATCAATGCGCGCCGGTTTCGGGGAACTGCGATGAGTTCGATGAGTTTGTTCTGCCCGAGTTTCATGCCCGTCTCTGCCTGCAGTAATGTGTGCATGTAGTACAAGTCACGCGCAGCTTGGACCTTGTTGAAGCGCAAACTGCACATGGACTCATAGGCCTTGTCATAGCGGTTGCGCGACATGTACCAGCGGGGCGATTCGGGGCACGTGAATACAAAGCAGCAGACGAGGAGGGCTGGAAACAAGGCCGAGGCCATCATCAAGCGCCAATTAAGTCCGACGATACCTGCAGGGTCCTGTATCTCGAAGAAAGCCAGGTCGGCGACATAGCCGAACATGATGCCAAAGGCGGTCCACATCTGCCATTGCATGACCAAAGCACCACGAATGACTGGAGGGGCTGTTTCTGCGGCATAGATCGGGACAGTAGCTGACTTGGGTCCAATGCCAAAGCCCAGAGCAAAGCGCGCAATGAACATGTGCCACCAAGTGTTGACGAATCCTTGCCAGAGACAGGTGATGGCCGAAAAACAGCAGGTAATGAAGATGGTGCCTCGTCGGCCAAACCAGGCATTGAACGGGACTGTTAACCAGCAGCCGACCAGAGCACAACACATGTAGGGTGCGCAGTTTACGAGACCAAGCAGCCAATTTGACCTGGACTCGCTGCCACGATCAATGCCGAACTGATGCTTATAGAAAATCTGGGCGCCATTGACGACGGTTTCATCTGCAGGTGCACGATTGCCTTAGCCTGTGTCGTGCCACACCAGGCGTGTTGAGGAATGTCTTGAACTTACCCATTCCCTGAACAGCAGCCGACAGGGAACACAAGCAAATGACCAGGTACATTGTCCATGGCTGGGACCAGCGATGAGCGTATTCATTCTCCAGAACTGCCAGCTCTTGGGGCGTCAGACCGGGCACCTCTGCATATCTTTCAGGGACTTGCGCCAGCATGGCACCCATTGCAAAGGCACGCACATCCTCTTCGTCACCCATCTGGTGAGTGATGGCGAAGTTGATGCCCTGCTGACGCAATTCCTCTTGGGTATATCCGGCTAGCGGGTTGGCCAGCTTCGCGTTCATGTTCCGCCGCGCTCGCTCTGCAGCTGTTCCGAAGGAACGCTGGAGACGAATGGTTTCCCTATGGTCAGATACATATTCGTCATTCGAGGGCTTGTTCTCGAAGATAGGCTCCCCGATGACCGGGCATTCCTCTTTTCCAAACATTTGCAGATATTGGGATCTGGTCGCGATGATGGCAGCTGATACTGTGGGGGGTGTGGAAAGGAGAGACTGCGTGAAGATCGGCAAGAATTAGCAGGGTGTGGATAACGTGAAGAGTTATTTGAACAGTGAAAAATGAAGGAACAGATTAGCGACCGAGACCGGAGAAAACAACATGAATGGCTCATTGCACAAGGATGGATCGTAAACCTGGCTGGACCGTGGCGCCACCCCGAGGTGCATCAACAAAGGATGCAAGCATCAACAAAGAAGCGTATGGTGAGAAGAGCGGATGTGAACAGACGATCCAAGCAAGTCTACCAGCGATAAATTGGACGATACAAAGAACCGTTCAACGCGTAGGATGTGGTGCAGGGATATGGAAAGGAAAGGCGTGCAGAAGAGTGGAGTGAAATGCATCACCACTCGCACAACTGACACATTTGTCAACTCACCGTTTCAGCCAACATCCCGGGGCGATGACCTCGATGGGCCACTGAAACAGATCAAGTACTGAGGCCGGAAGCGTTGCTTGTTTATCCTTAGGTGAGAATGTACGAGAAAGAAAAGGAAGAGAAAGGCTGGAGTCTGACTAACGAGCGACAGGGAAAGACACGATTCACTATGGACACATGCAAAACAAAGAGGGAATGAGACTCATCCAGTCTCTGTCTGGGGTTGGCTGCTCCTTGAGGCTTAGAGACGGCCTTTGGCCGTGATCAGAGACGTGGTTCCCAGTCGCCAGGAGTGTCATTTTGGGAAATCAGTGGGCAACATTGAGGTTGTACAAGCATCGCTTGCTGTAATGAGGCCACCCTCCCTGTTGGATAGCGGTTTTGACATCCGCATGGCCATGCAACCCCAGATGCTAAAGATAGAGTTGCCATTTGGACTGCATCCGTCGACATCGGGGCAATGTTTGAATCCAAATCTAAAGGTCTTAAAGGTGATCATCGAGCCAGACACCACGAACAAAGCAAGGGTGGAAAAGATTACCGAGACTCACTTGTCATCTTCAAATCCCCGGATCGCCGTCGCTTAGAGGTTAACTGGCGTGCGGGGTCGCCTTTCTCCACCGTCGGATCGCGCCAGGCCCGTCGGATAAAGCTAGACCATTGATGCTACTATCCTTATCCCAGGATCGAATGTATTTGGTCATCCGATGGTTCTGATACCACTTTTCCGTTCGGATCTCCTTACAGGTTCAGCTGTTGAGTGCCAGGGAAGTCGGACGTCACAGTTACTACCCCGCATTCCACGTTGGCACCAGAACTCCTCAACCAACTACATCTCGACTATTATCCGAGCCAGAGGGACAATTACTGGTCAAGGACCACGCTGTAAAAGGCAAGGGAAAATGTTTTCTATAGGATGGTGACGATGCACGTCTGCATAGTCTGAACGGACGGTGACGACATCGGTTCTAGCCGACTTCTATGCCGCCTCTTCTGTCTATCCTAGCTCATCCGCATGGTCGGATGCAGACACTCCAGCTAGCTATCGGAACAGCAGACGGATCGATCCAGGTACAAAGTATGTACTATCCATTCATCCCCACTCGTGATACTCCACAGACTCTGTTATTTGACCGGCGAGTCCATGGGTCGGCAAAGGGTCGAGAGGGGGAACATACCCGCTTCCGACCCGCCTCTGTTCCTCGATGATGGCATCACCCAGTTTATAAGTAGACACCATCTCCTCACTTCTTTTCCAGCAATTTGTACAATATCCCAGACTACCTCAATTCCTTCTCTACTCACACATCCCTGTACACAACATGCTTGGTAAAATCGCTCTCGAAGAAGCCTTCGCGCTTCCCCGCTTCGAAGAGAAGACGCGCTGGTGGGCCAGTCTATTCTCCGTCGACCCCGAAACCCACGTCAAGGAGATCACCGACATCAACAAGCTGCGCATCGAACATGCCGACAAATACGGTGTGGGGTACCAGATCCTCTCCTACACAGCCCCCGGTGTCCAAGACATCTGGGATCCCGTTGAAGCCCAAGCCCTAGCCGTTGAAATCAACGACTACATCGCAGAGCAGATCCGCGACAAGCCCGATCGCTTTGGCGCATTTGCGTAAACCTCCCTCTCCCATCCCCACACCCTACCTTACCTCACTTACTCTAACTCCCAAATGAAGAACCCTCTCCATGCACAACCCCCAAGAAGCCGCCTCTGAGCTCCGCCGCTGCGTCCAAACCTACGGCTTCAAAGGCGCCCTAGTAAATGACACCCAACGCGCCGGCCCTGACGGCGACGACATGATCTTCTACGACAACGCCTCCTGGGATATCTTCTGGCAAACATGCACGGAACTCGACGTCCCTCTGTACTTGCACCCTCGCAACCCCACCGGCACCATCTACGAGAAGCTCTGGGCAGACCGGAAATGGCTCGTGGGTCCGCCGCTCAGCTTCGCGCAGGGCGTCAGTCTGCATGTTCTGGGGATGGTCACGAACGGCGTGTTTGATCGTCACCCCAACCTACAGCTCATCATGGGTCATCTAGGTGAACATGTGCCGTTTGATATGTGGCGCATTAATCATTGGTTCGAGGACCGCAAGAAGTTGTTGGGATTGGCGGAGACGTGTAAAAAGACGATTCGGGAGTACTTTGCTCAGAATATCTGGATTACGACTTCTGGGCACTTTTCGACGACCACGTTGAACTTCTGCATGGCGGAGGTCGGGGTCGATCGCATTTTGTTCTCGATTGATTATCCGTTCGAGACGTTTGAGGATGCGTGTGTTTGGTTTGATGGCGCGGAGTTGAATCTTTCCGATAAGGCTAAGATCGGGAGGGATAATGCGGCGAGGCTATTCAAGTTGGGGGCGTTTAGGGATTATGATGCGAAGGTTAAGGCTTAGTTGAGAATTAGGATTAATGGAATGAAATGAATATGACTGTTTTTTGTGGATTGGGTTCATGGTATTTGGCTGACGAGCTAGGATGGTTTCACTAAATTACATCTTGAAGTTACATCGTAGGGGTAAATATGTAGATGTGCTGCTTTGTCAATCCACCACCTCCCATTCCTTATTCCTCTTTTTTTGTCTTTCTGTTTTCTTTTCTTTCTTGTTTTTATGTTTTTGACTTTTATCCTTCCCTTTGTTTTCTCTCTTCTCTCATTAATATCTTAACCGCCGTTTCTTGCATATGCATCAGTCCCGTAGGATTCTCTTCTCTCACACCAATCTTTGAATCAGCTCATGACCGAACCAGCATCAATTAGGCGTCATCCAAACCTGAAAGTCACCTCCAATCCACCTCAAGCCCCAGTCGTCTCAGAGCCCTCGGGGTTCTTGGGGGCAGGCACAGCAGGCTGCTCAGATTTAGTGATCGCCTCGTACGCAAAGTCCCTGACTATAACGCCAGGATACATACCCACTGCATTAAGACCAACATGATCACCATCCCCGACCACCGTCTCGGCTTCCTCATCATCCATCTCAATCTCTTCCTTCACCTTCTCCTTCTCTTCGTTGCGGCGCTCCTCCTCAGCCTGAAGTCTCGCCTGCTCACGCGCAACCTCCCTCGCCTCTGCCCGCTGAGCAGCCTGGCGCTGGCGCTCCCGTTCACCCTCGATATGGTGCTCAAGCATAGCATTGATCCAGATCTGAGGGGCCTCTTGCATTTCTCGGAAGTGGGGTTCGGTGTACTTGCCCTTGATGTCCATCGTCACCTTGATGATGGCATCGTAGCTCTCGATGGCCCGGTTGATCAAATCCCAGACTGCGATTAAGGCGCGGGTCATTTCCACGCGGACGGGGTTCCAGTTCTCTTCAACGGGAAGCTGCCGCTGGTAATCCCTGATGAAATCGGTGTAGAGATACGCGTCGAAGAAGTCGAAGAAGACGGCGAGAAGGCGTCGTTCGGACGGGCGGGGCTTGTTCATGTGGCTGTTTGGAAGGGCAGGCATTAGTTATATTTGCTTTGCTTTTCTAGTATCAAATGAGAATTGGAGAAGGACTTACCTAATAATCACTTCTGCCATATTTCTGAAGCGAGTCACCACGTTGTACTGAGTATCCTCAGCAATGTATTTGACAGAAAGCTCAACGCGGCGCGCCCAAGTGAGTTCCTGCTGGAGGATTCTGTCAATGATTCCGAGGGTCCTTCTGAGATCTTCCAAGTGGTACATGACCTCTTCCACTTCCTCACTGGTCAGTCCAAGGACTGGGTCCACGGGAGTTACGTGTCTGCGAAATAGAAGGAACTCGAGACGAAGAATAATGTTGCACATTGTCACGAAGCGCGTCCTAGTAGATGGTTTCATATGATCTGAGGCGATCATGGCCCTGATTTGCTCGAGGGCATCCTTCTTGCGCTCTTCAGGCACAAGCTGAAAAGAATCAGAGCCCACTCCCGAGCGTTGGGTGTTCGAAAATTCGGTGCTCAAATGTGAGGCCGGAGTAGGGGGACTCTCGATCTTAGGGATGTCTTGTTCATTGACCGCAGAACTGGCGTTAGCTTTATCATCATCCGCCATAGTGAAGGCAAGAGGCGCCGTGGCCCGCAAATCGATCTGTCCGAACTTTATGACGTCCTCACAGACTTTGGCGATAGCTAGATTGTATGCTTCCTCAATCTGCTTGTTCTCGTGGGCCTCCTGCGTTTCACACGATCTGTAGTATTCCGGAAAAGGCTCGGTGTTGACGCCTGGGGGAAGCGGGAGACTAGAGCCTGTGATATCGATTCCAGAATCGGGTCTGTTTTGAGAGGAAAAGGTCATAGTGGGTTTGCCCATCGGTTCTTCATTCACTGTGGGCCCAGGTTCCCCGAGACTCTCATTTTTGCTGTAGGTGGAATTTGCCATGGTAACGTCGACAGTGGAATCATCGTCCATTTCCATGGGAAAGACCATCTCATCGTCTTCTTCCTGTGCCTCCTCGGGGTGCCTCTTAAGGTATGCGAGGTGGTAGCGGTAAAGCTCACGAATACCGGAGTCTATGCTTGACTTGGCGGAGAGAGTGCCACTGGTGGTGATTTCCGATGCCATGATAGGTAACTGGTCGCGTGATTCAGAACTGTGCACAAGTGTTCCTGGAGAAAGAAGCCCACGTCACGGTATCACAACTGCTCATATGCATGCAAGAATACTCATATGCATGCAAGAATACTAAAGAGCAAGAAGCAACAGCTTGCGTGATGAAGAGATATGAATCACTGCTCTTGAAGAAGAAAGCACATACACAGTATCACAATTGCTCAGATATCTTGATGAAGACTGAATATGATGAGGCCTTAGAGAGAGCGCGACGACGAGAGAAGAAGAACAACACTGGAAGATCATCTTTCTGAGAACACTTATCAAAGCGGACCCGACGATGCGATCTCATCGCCGACTAAGCAGGAGGATTCACTATGTATACCGCTTCCAGAGAGCATTTGAACTACAGAAGGGGTGCGGCTGTGAGCACAGGAACAGCGGTTCTGAGCACAGGGACGCTGATCAGACTGATGTGACTTTCTGCCTACCTAGCAAGTTGGTCTAGGAAGTTGTTATCGCGGGTACAATATCAAACCATTCCAGTCTACAGGTGGTTGATGCCAATACAATTGCTTCATACCCTATGACAAAGGTAAGGGCATGGGCATATCCAATTACTCTGGGTTTTATTGACATAAAGAACAGAGAAAGACTAGACCATATCGCCCTAAGTTGGGAACTCTGTACGGAAGTTGTCACTTGGGATGAGACCGACCTAGTGTCCTGTGACATTCTCCCGGTCGTCAATTACACTGCATAGCTAAGACAGCCTCAAGAACGCCATACTCGCCTTTACCACATGAATGCATAGTTGGGCGTGTTATAGTGGATCAACCACTGGCGGAACGGCCCTTCCCGTGGTTCGCCTCAACGACTACTATCTATAAATGAGTACTGAACTTGGTGATGACGGCATGGGCGAAGGATCAAGAAAGTCGCTGTTTGCAGAAAAATGACGAAGTAGAAAATAAAGAAAAATGCATGAACGCGATTGCTATTGCTAATATATCATTTTTGATATCTGGTCTCTAAGTAGATGTTGCCTACGGTTGGCAAATACCCCCGATATAATCCGCGGATAGTCGGAGTTAAGTGTCCCTACTCGCTCGTAGGCATTAAACTCCTCGTAAGATATTCAAAATACAGAAGCAGGATTGCCTCGATCGGTCCAACAGAGCAAGTCTCAATCTTTACGGTCCACCAGCACAGCTTGGCCTGAGAAACGAACTATTTGAGAATGGCATATGGAATAAGGCACAATGTAAATAACATTCAGGGTATATGAAAACTACATATTATGAGTGTACCGCATCTCAATCAATGACGCTTACCAAAAAATCCCGAAAGATTCGAGCGTCTAGTTTAATCGAGAATGCAGTTTGACCCTCCCTCCAGTCATGAATGCGGAACTAAGCAGGTGAAAAGGAAAGAACAAAACGTCCTCGCCAGCCACACTACTTAACAGACATGAGCTGTGAGGTTAGCGAGGGTCTGCATCGTTCTTCGCACAGTGACTGATTGGCACCTCATTGATAAGGAGTGTGACAACTCAAAGTAGTGCGTGAATATCGCCAGCGAATAGAGCACTTAGAAGGATAGAAAACAAACTTGAGTACGAAGATTCATGACTGTAGATGGCATACGTCGGACCAGGGTCAATCTTCCTTCTTACTTCCATCGGACTTTTCCGCGGAGGCTTTATCATCTTCATCCTCGTCATCAGGCAACGGAACATCCATGACTCGCTCTCCGGCTTTTTCTAAAGCCCTGCAGCTCCATGTTCTTACACCTTTGTAAACAGCCTAATATTTGCGGTCAGAAGTTGCCAATAAATAAAAGAATTATAGGTTGTGAACATACCCAAAGAAAACTACCAACACCGATGACGATGACAAGCCACGCGACCCGGTTGCGGCCAGAATTCCTTCCGCCACCAAACATCCCTGTGCCGCGCAGTGTCAATTCGTGCCATGAAGAAAGCGCAAACACGGCCTTGATGAAAGACAGAAATCCCAAAGAGGCTAGCCCCTTGATGAAGTGCTCAGTCCAGGAAGCCTCTTCGTTGTCAGGTAAGATACTCGCCACAGGACGCGTATCCCAGTAGTCCGAGCGGATAATGGGGTCCATAGGGTCCACGTATAAATTAATGATCGGGTCAGCAATAAAACCAAGTAAAAATACAGTCAACATTAGAATTATTAGGGTGAGTCCAAGCTGCGTCAATGGGCTACTGATCCAGTGTGCCCACCGGAGGCGCTCTAAGCGATAGTGGAAACCACAAGTCGGACAGTGCCAATAATTCCTCTTGCCATAACCTGGGTCCGCGTGTCGCCAAAGTTGTAAACATCCCTCATGCACATAACGCGAGGATCCTTTGCATTTGCAAGGGCGAAGCAATCGACCAGACTCCGGGTCTGAGGACTGGTATGTCACGCGTTGCTTGGACTGAAGAAACCCAGGCAGGTGTTCGGATGGAGGAGGGAAAGTAGGGTAGACGGTCTCCAGGCAAATGCGACATGTACGAGGAGGGTAATGCTTTTCGAAAGTCTCGCCTGAAGGTTGCGAAGAGCCATCAGGTCCAGCATCATCTTCCGGACTCTGCCTTACATCAAAGTCAGGGTCCGAGGCTGAGACGGAGGCAGAGCTAGAAGGCCACTGCCAGAGCGGCTCATTGCGCAGGTCCATTCTGCCTGAACAGTCTCAGAGCTAATGGCATAATATGATTCTCAGACCTACCAGCGATCTGAGAACCTCTAGCAGCGATTGGTAGGCGTCTGTTGCGGGAGATGCGCGAGGACGAGGAGGAAAAAGAGGGAAAAGTGGGTGAGGGAAAAAGAGGCCAGCTTAAAAAGGCGATGTGGAGAAGAAGTCGTGCCGTAACCGCACTAGCCGCTCGCCTACCGTCACCGCCCGAGGCGCGGCTTGGCGCCAAACCAGCGGGCGGTGCTGCTGCTGCTGCGTCAACATCCTGCCGCCTGCTGTCCTTGAGGGTAGCTCCATTCTTGATCCCCCACGACCTCTTTCCATCTCCGTTCACCTTTCATCCATCACTTCTGCACACTTTCATACCCGCTGGAGCTTGTAATTGTGGAAAGACGCACTCATGGCTGATCGCTACTCCTTCTCTCTGACCACGTTCTCCCCCAGGTAAGAGAAGCTCACTGCTCGATAGCTCGGGTCCTTGCTAACATTGCTCAGCGGAAAGCTGGTTCAGATTGGTAAATAATCGCTGCCACTGCCTGCAGCCTAAACATTTGTGCTGACGAGTCTTAGAATATGCCTTGAACGCTGTTAACCAGGGTGTAACTGCTCTGGGCATCAAAGGTATGACATAGCTCTGACCCGCTCGAGCTAGCTTCGAATAGCTACTGATGACCAACCCTACTCAATAGCTACCAACGGAATTGTTCTTGCAACCGAAAAGAAAGCGAACTCGCCTCTCATTGACCCACCTTCCCTCTCCAAGATCTCCCTGATTACGCCCGACATCGGCATGGTCTACGCAGGAATGGGTCCCGATTACCGTGTGCTCGTGGATCGGGCCCGCAAGGTTTCTCACACTGGCTACAAGCGCATTTACAACGAATACCCCCCTACCCGGATATTAGTGCAGGACGTTGCCCGGGTTGTCCAAGAAGCGACTCAGTCCGGTGGTGTCCGACCGTACGGTGTCAGCTTGTTGATTGCTGGCTGGGACGAGGGCGTTGAACCTGAATCGGGAGAGGCTCAGCGGGGTGACGGTGAGGACGAGCCTAAGAAAGCAACCGGCAAGACGGGTGGTATCTTGAAGGGCGGCCCCAGTCTGTACCAAGTCGACCCCAGTGGCAGTTACTATCCGTGGAAGGCTACGGCCATTGGAAGGCACGCGACGAGCGCAAAGACATTCCTTGAGAAACGTTACACCGAAGGTCTCGAGCTGGAAGATGCCATTCACATCGCTCTTCTAACTTTGAAGGAGACTATCGAGGGAGAGATGAACGGTGATACGATAGAAATTGGTGAGTTTCACATCTGGCAGTTCCTGATAGCTGTCGTGCTGACGATTATAGGCATTGTTGGTCCTCCTGCCGATCACCTGCTTGGTTATGAGGGCGTCGAAGGATCGCGCGGACCCCGCTTCAGGAAGCTGAGTAAGGAGGAGATTGAGGACTATCTCACCAACCTATGAACTATTCCATAGATCTATACAGATCTTGACATATTGAGCCTTGTAGTATAATAGACACGACTCAAGTCTTGCGAGGTTCCCACGATATGACAGGGCGTCCCGACAACGCAGAAACCGGGAGCTGAATGGTGGGTTTTCAGGAGTGACCCTGGAACCTGACGAAATATTTGGGCGATTCTAGACTCGCCAGTAATACTTCAAAAACCTGATCCGAAATGAATGCTATTGTCAATGAAACTGCACGACTGCACCTGTCTCCTAGACCCAGTAATTGGGCTGCTGGGCTGTAGGCCTGCAGGCCACACAGCATCTGCAGGATGGACTGGACCCATAGAGCCCCCATTGTAACGTCGTAATCAGTCCGTCCTTTTTGTTTTTCCTGCCGAATAGCAATGACCAATCTAGCTCGGGGGAAAACCTGGGTGTTTACACAGAAGCGATGCCGGCGTTGGACCTTTTGATTGTCAGTGGGCGGGTCACTGCATCAGTCACACGTCCATCAGCGCCAGCCATCTTGACTAGTGATCGCCAACGCCAATTCCTTCCACCAATTTCTCCGCAGCAAAAGCAATGACTAAGACCAGCAAGCCCAAGCGGGGACTCAACAATGGCGATTCTACCTGTCATCCAGCCTGCCGATCGGACAAGGCTTCCTCACAACATCGTCCGCTCGTCCCTGAGTTGATATTCTAACCATCGTCCTCCCTCGCCGTGGCCCAAGCTTGATCTGCCACCATACCCCGAACCCCTCCACTCATAATTAGCTTCGCATCCTCCCACTTCCCCAGATCTGACGGCGCTAGGACATTAGATGAAACTCTGTCAGAGGTGGCCCGGACTTTATCGACTACTCTGGATAGTTGTACCACGTCAAGACCCCGGATGCGGTGTGTTGTGCAGACCCCAATTTGATTGCCTTTCCTCCCTTGGGATATCTGTTGATGCCTGACGCTACTGTGAGCTCGATGGCTGCGACTCGTTTGTTCCAAGGCTGAAAACATGTGGATGGTTTCTCTGACCACATGAACCGACATTGATGGCGCGGATACTCAGAGACGGCAAACTGCCTAAGACGACATAATTCAATTAGTTGAGGGGCTGAGCGTGTGAATCTTGCAATTCGTTCAAGTTGACATTGGCATTGTGGTCTTCACTTCGGCTGGCTTTTAAATACAGCCTGTGACGCTGGCGCTATCGATACCCGGCTCGTGCACACGGAATGCCCATTCTGTATTTCCCTGGCTTCGCATTTGTCTATTAATATGTCCGTATCATCTACGAAAGACCCGCTGGATGGCATCAGCGGCGAGCTCGCAAGCAGTGGTGGTGCCTTCAAAGCCACCTTGTTGTTCTTTATGGCTATTGCCTGTTACAATGTGGCTGAGCTAGTTGTCATGGTCCTATCAACCTTTCGACGGTGGAAGGGCCTATACTTTTGGAGTTTGCTGTTATCGGGCTGCGCAGGCGTGCTGCCATACACATTGGGGTTTATTATGAAGTTTTTTACGCAAGCCCCTTCGAATCTCTCTGTCACTATACTCAGTATCGGCTGGTGGGTCATGGTCACGGGCCAGGCGGTCGTGCTGTACTCACGACTCCACCTCGTCATATGCGATGAGCGCATCCTACAGCGAGTGCTGTATATGATTATTGCGAATGTATTCCTTCTACATGTACCCACGACGGTCCTCACATACGGATCCAATGCTGTCGGCGAAGAACAGCCGGCCTGGGTGATTGGATACAATATTATGGAAAAGGTTCAGATGACCGGCTTTACCATCCAGGAGATTGTTTTGTCTGGACTGTATATGTGGGAGACTGTGCTGATGCTCCGGATATGTCTTGTCCGGGAGAACCAAAAAATCATGTATCAGTTGATCTGGATTAACATCGCTATGCTGGTCATGGACCTCATTTTGCTGGGTCTTGAGTACGCCAGCTTCTATGCCGTGCAGATCACGCTAAAAGGAGCGATATACAGTATCAAACTGAAGCTCGAATTTGCTGTTCTGGGCCGGCTTGTCGCCGTGGTACAGAATCGTCGGCCAATCTCGATCGATCGGGACATAAATCTCTATTCTTTGGACCGAGAAACTACCGGTGCTCCTGATCGGAGCCTAGCCTCTGCTGGAGAGAGTGTATCCAGCCGCACACCGTTTTGTGTGCCAGCCACGGGGTACGCGAATGGGACACACAGAAATATCAACCTCGACACCGGAAAACTCGTGACAATGAGGGAGCTTTCAACTTGGGTTCAGCGGCCAAATGACGATCACCGCTGACACTCATAAATCTTCCTTGACAACATCAATCCACATGCTCATTCGTAGCGTTGGTGCTGGGGAGATAAAGCTGGATTCATAACACCATATGCACTGCATCCTATCCAAACAATGGGTATACATAGAACTCTATTTCGAGACAGGTGATGCTTCGATCCTCTGCTAGTCATCCAAGCCTCGTCATCTTTGACCTACTCAAACTCTACTTCAGAATCTTCCTCATCCTGGCTGTCCGCAATCTCCTCTGCCTTTCGCTTTCGCTGACTTGCAGTATCTTGAGCCATGTCGGAGCAGACATCTTGTGCTTGCTCGTTGTCTGCTTGAATCTCCTGAGTCTGCACCTTCTCTATGTGCTCCTGTGTGTGCCCATTGTGCAGAGGCTCTTCACGCACCAACACTCCTTGCGCAAGGTCTTTTTGTGCAGGCTCTTTTTGTGCGGGCTCTTCCTGTGCAGGCTCTTCTTGGTCAGGCTTTCCTTGCGCGGGCCCTTCTTGCGCGGGCTCTTCTTGTGCAGGGTCTCCCTCTGCAGGCTCCTCTTGTGCTTGGTAATCCTCAAGCTCTGGCTCTTCCTCCTCCACCGGTTCCTCCTCCAATGGCTCCTCCTGTTCAAGCGCTTCTTCATCCTGTGCTTGCTTCTCCCTGACTTGTACAGCGACGCCTTCCTCTTCATTATTTTCGAGCCCCATCTCAACAGCATACAATCCATCCTAATCGACATGTCAACACACCTATAGCCAAAAGGAAGAAGCACACCAGAGAATCTCAAAGCAGAACTCACATTTGCAACCCGAAAAGGCACTACGCTTGTAACGTCCCTAACAGTGACAAGCCTCCCATCCCTCTTCATAACCTCTGCAACCCTCACACGTCCGCCATCCACACCATACCCTAGATCACCATAAACACCAACCCGAGCACGAACGCACGATTCCCATCCTCTTCCACTCAATATGGGAGACAATGTTGCCCTCACCTGTCCCCGAATCCGGGTATGCGTCTGGTTGATAACTAAGACTGCCAGATTCGCCCTGCTCGCGAACTTCGTCAACTGAGCAGCAAGGTCGCTTATAACATTCCACTTCCGCGTTGTGAGCCATTTCTGGACATCCCTCTGCGCTTGCTGCGGTTGGTTGACATCACTGGGGTTAGGAAAGTAAGGAGTAAAAGGGGCAGAGACAGAATCAATAACAAGGAGAGTTGTGTTTGGGGGTGGAAAAGAAGCAGGCGGATGATGGAAGAGAGAAAGGAGGTGAGGGAGTGTGGGAGCACGAATATAGGTCAGAGTTTCTGTCAGAGACCTGGGAGATGATGACGATGCAGGAGACTGCAACTCGAGTAGTTTGCGCAGTCGAGGCCTAGGCAGTGGCGACGCCGTATCTGCAATCATCCCAAAGAACAACCGTTACCTCATACCCCACACACATAAAAGAACTGAAGCAAAAGCAAAGACAATCCTACCTATCCAAACAACTCCCTCCCCTCTTCCCAGCGCACCAGCAGCAGCATTCAACCTAATTACCATTCGTCAGCACCACATAATATAATACTACCCACTTACTCCACTCAAACTACACCATTAGATAAGAATAGCGAAATAGACTCACCCCAACATAGTCTTCCCCGCCCCCGGCGGCCCAAACACCTCCGTAACATGTCCAACAGGCAAGCCTTTTAGCCGTTCTACTTCACCCTCACCAGACTCACGTATTCGCTCATTTGTCGTCGACGACGACAACGTTACTGGTGCGGAGATCGCCTCATCCAGCGCGACAAGCCCCGTCGGGATGGCATTTCTGCCTGAGGCAGCATCCGGAAACGCGGTGGACGCGTGCAGGGACTGCGAGGCTGGGAAGGAGATTACGCGATCTGGGTGAGTAGTTAGTTCTCACTTGTCCTGGGAGAGAATGGATTGGAAGATGCACGTACGAGGATCCTGAGTTGATAGAGGGGGTAAGTCTAGGTGGTTCATCGTTGGTGTTGGATAAGGGTAATTTGGTGGATGGGTTCACGCGTCACGCGTTTTGGGTGGTTATGAAGTGGGATGGATATGTGTTGCTGGGATGGTGGTGGGCGGGGGGTCATGTTCGGGGCATTTTTATTGTGGTTGTATTATTTTTTTCGAAGAGATGTAAATGAAGAATAATTTGAGAGAGAGAGAGAGAAACAATATATGGGTTTGATTGTGCTTAGATTGTCTGGGGTATCCTGGAGTTGACGTTAGATTTGAAGTGGTGGTTGATCCATCCATTGAGAGTGGGTGCTCCGCTCTTCCTTCCCGGTGGTTCACATTATCTTGATTATCTAGGCTTTCGGCACTGAGTTCGGTCGTATTTATACTCCCTGGCAAGTTTGGGAGGACAAGGTTTTATCTAAGAGATAAATATTCTATATAAATTAAAGTAGTGGAAGTAGAATTGGTAATCTTCCTTGTAATCCTTTACAGACTGGATGTGTAATTGTGGTTCACTTGTATATTTCCTCCTAAAACATTATATGCGAAAGGCATTAGCATTTACAAATCATGTCGCACCGTATATTATAGGGACTACAGTTAATCAGAGGTTAGGTGGATAAATAGACAGAACATCTTTTGGCTTATGAATACGTCCATAGAATTGCTTCATCAAATGATGGCGCAACTGGCTCAAGCCTTATAACTAGGTGTCAAGATCCCCCGACCTACCTGCAATTTCCACTGCACAGAAGGAAACTTCCGCGAAGCACTATCGGAATATCTCACTCAATCTACTATCATCAGCAGACCAGAAAGGTCTTCAGAGGCGTGGGAAGTCCCAATCCCTCATGCAAATACCCTGCTGTATGCAGGAAACGAACCCTACGGACTGGTAGCTCAAGACCCCACCCACACCTATATAAAGGGCCTTGGGCCTGCTGCCCATCCAGACTTTCCTTCATCAGCAGCAAACACAGTCTGATCAAAGTCTCTGATATATAAATCCTCGTCAAGGAAGAGAGGGGGCAAATGCTCTCTCAACCTTTTAGAAACAGTCTATATAATACGTATCGCATTGTCCTGCTTCAGAGGCACGAAGGATAGCAAAATGGAGAGCCATCTATTCCCATATCGATGGAAGTGTGTCTTCGTGGACAGATTCAGATGTCATGGTGATCCGCAAAAACTATCCGCTATGATCTGTCCAATACAAGGTTCTTCGGCTTCAATTCAACCGCTGTGCCTGGCATGTCGCGGCATCAGTCGTCTCGACACCGTCTCATCAATGGAATATTTCCCACCATGCAGACCGAAGATGACTGAAAAGAGCCATACCGGTGCTTTGATCAGGCGAACTGACCTTCGATGGACATATGGTTTGTGCTGCGTGGGGAGGCGAGGTTGCGGCACATCGCGCTGTCCCTGAGCTGGTCGTTTTGGATCTTTCTGTTTGCAATTGTTAGTATATTAAATCTGATGACGAGTCGACCGATGATGAGTCGACCGATGATGGGTTGACCGATGACGGCGGGCTAACCTGATAGCGAGTCAAGTCCCAAAGGGCTGCTCTGCGAGAACGCTGAAGTCTCAAGCACGCCAGGTTGAGCGGGCCAAGATCTGCAATCTCAGCCCTCCTTCCCGTTGTATATCCGACTAGAGCTTTCAAATCAGCTTCACAGACCCTAGGGAGTTCGTTATGCACCTATCAATATATATATATATATATATAGTATATATTCTTTCGCTGCCAATCAGAGATATGTCGGACTGAGAATCCTGACAACTGGTGTCCTCGGAATCCAGCACAATAAAACCCAAAAGAAGCTGGCTGATCACAATCTTGAATAACGCTGTGCATTTATACCATCAATGCCCCAGGCGCCGGCCAACTAAAGCAGAAGTGACTAGCAGTCAAGTCATATTGAGCTAAGGGATTACAAACACGCAAGATCCAGCAATGCTAAGCATCCAGGGTGATAAGAGATGTGTGTGGTAGCGAGACTGATACACTTCCAACTCGTAATCATTATGCTTCCTGCTCGTCTGTGCTTCCTTTGCCCTCTTTGACAGTTCTCTATGTGGCCAAACTACCCAAACAATACCTTTCCCAAGGGTTTGGATGTCCAATTCCTCCGAAGGTAGAGGTGCAAGTTGCACAGATCAAGCTGCAACAATGCCTACAGTAAAGGCTACAACAGCTTCGAAGCAAAGACATTGGATTGAAGCACAACTGAACAACCTTGCCAAGCAGGGGAGTCTGGTCCACTGCCCCAACTGGTACAGAACCTTACTTGGCCAAGAAGGAGCCGTCAGAGGATAAGAGGGTGGAGCTATTTGACTACTTTGGCAGAAATAGGGGCATTAGTTCTTATATAACAAGAATTGCTTAACGAGCCGATCCATCTACAATCCTTTCGGCTTGGGGGCGTCGTGGGTCAGCCGAAGAGAGTTCCTGAGTGAATAACATGATGGGACGAACCACAAGACAGAGATCGAAGAGCTAAATCATGGTCGATAGAGTGGGGAGCTCCAGGGCAATCTGAAACATGTCAAACCATATATAAATTGAATAGCTACCAACGGAGATGCGATGGACTAGGATGGAATGCTGTCCTGGGTAGTGAAAGATACAGGTTCTTGGAAGAGTTGAGAAGCTCCCTGACATGTCTGTCCCGAACATCACAACTAGAAGGAAGCATGTTACAAATGTCTCTCCTACTGCAAGCCCCTTCTTTGCTACCACTCAGATCATACACTCTTCCTCGAGCATCGCTTTCATATGACTTCTTTCGTCCATTCTCGTCACGCAATGAGCCCTAGCTATCCTTAAGCATTTCGCACGATGCTCTGGCCTCATGGAGAGACCCCTGCGCCACCACAGGGCGCTTTTCGCCTCGAACAATGCTTCTGTATCAGAGCTCCAGATCCCGACATGTCGCCTCGACTTCCCATAGTTCTGTCGGTGCCCAAACCCCTTCGACAACCTTCCTCAATCCATAGTGGCTACGATAGATAATTCATGCATCGATGTGATTTAGCACCTCTGACGCTGCGGACCACTTTCACACAATATCTCAACTATACAATAAGCTAGTCTTGCACAAACACATAATGTCTTATTGAGGAAAAGGAGCTCAAGTCGTCCTGACTGCGCCTCAGGCTTCGAGGATCTTATGGATTCGCTATAGCATTTGTTTTCGCGACAGTGCAAGCTCATCGCTATTTCGCCACTATTGTATCAACATGGCCCAGTCATTTCATTTCTAGGACATTCTTATCACGGCGCGAACAGGACATCAGAGACAAGTCTAAGAGCGTGTGGATCGTGATGTCGTTCCATTTCCATTCAACAGCTGACGCAGTATCGACATGCGGTTTGCAGCGCCATACACCCCGCCACAATCTAGAGTTTACCGAGTTTGGGTGTGGGTGTGCGTCTGCATGTGCAATGGCATAGTCCGAAGAGCGTCAGCATAGAAAATATATTCAACATAGGAAAGCATGGAGACGGACGACTACCGTGATGGCAGAGGCGAGCGTCTTGTATTCTTCGACTCCCGTATGCTTGCTCTGGAACTTCTAGAGACATTATGCAATGGGTGCGGCTCTGGTCTCTGAGATCGGCTCCTCTACAGCTTTCATGCTTACTCCGTTGTTATCCAAACTACATCCCTCCGGTTGGTTGTCCACAGTCAGTTGCTGTCTATTACCCCAAGGCCTGACACAAAGAGCTGGAGAACAAGTGATTGTGGGAGTATTGAGCATTACGAGTATTTAGAGCTCCCTGTTTGACCCGTCACCACGTCTTTTGACTCCTCCACACGAGCACTATTGCGAAAAACTGCATGCTGAAAAATAAAGACTCTGACACACACGGATGTATATATAGCGTACCATTCTGCATACGACACAACCATCTATCAAGACAGATGGCAAGCCTTCTGAAGGCGACGGTGTGTGTGTGTGCAGAAATTGAGCGTCTCACTAATATGAGGATGACGAAAACCCCTTGGAAGTTCGGGCGGATTTACATTCAGCCACATGTCAGTGGCTTGTGCATTTCAATATGCCTTTCCGGACTGGCTAGGCTGGATGATATGAATCATACAGCGGATATCTCCCTAATTTGAATCCAATTTGGCAGAAAATACAAGCCTTGAGCAGCTTGACCGACTATCTCAGAGCTAACCCTCGGATACACAGCAGTCAGCATCCATGATTGTGGGCTGGTTCTCCGGAATAAAGAGCATTGACGAAAATGGCGCAACACCCAATGAATCCAGCGAACCACCTCTATAGTGTGGTCCTACGGAGTATGGGAAGTCTATGTACAGGAAATGCTGTCCAGGTTTCTGGTCCCTTGCTCCATCCACCGGCGATGCAGAATCGGTGCACTTAGGCATTCCCCACCCGGAACCGAAAGCTAGTGAACACGATGGGCTATCCCCCAGTCTGAACATGCTGCCGATGAAGGCTTTGCATACGAGTATGCCCCGGATGGTGCGAAAAAGAATTACTGGGGCAGGATAGCGTCCGATTGGTGTGCTCCGATATACACACATATACTATACCTACCAGGACACAGAGACGGTGGGGAATTGAGAGGATCATGGTCCGAATTACTGATCCAATTCATACTATCAGATTCGTGAGCTCCAAGAACGAACCCTGCCTTGTTTGGCGTTGGTGATGTTACTCCCTTGAATCTACGCGCGTGTGGAAAGCTGATGAGATTGAAACGGGGGGAAGTCTCCGACATTTAGCAGGCACTCGAAATGCGTTGTCTGTATACACCCGAGATGGATATGATGTGTAATGTTCTTGATGAACACTACCACCATTTCCTATCGTCGATCAACTCCCTTTTACCCCTACGTATGCGGGCGAGACACAGCAGAGAGCTAGCCAATTATCCCTCCACCTGGGTGGTTCATGAAGAAGGAAGCGTCAAATTACAGCCGAAGAGATACCTCGACATCAGGCATCAGTATCAACATCAACATCTACTCATTAATCCCGGTGATCCATGGCTTCTAGGCTTGGCGCCATCGTGCCATCTCTGACAACACACTCTCTTGATACCTTGAAATAGACAAAGGCAGCAATCGAGAAAGCAAAGCATCCAATCACCTACGCCTCTCAGACACTCGAAATATATCGTGTTCGAAAGAATTTCCAGTCTTACTACCACACACAAAGGCTTTCTGTCGAAACTGCTACCCCTGCTCTCTACAGAAGAAGTGAACTGATGCAACTTTCCAATGTGTGGAGATTGGAAGCTAATCAGCTTCTAGAGGCCTACAGAAATAACAGCCGAAAGCTACCCAAAGACAGCCAGAACTGTCATGACTGGTGATCACTAGCCTCATTTTCATTCACGTGATACTAAATTATAAGTCTGTTCAGTTGTCTTCGATATATAAATAATGAAGGAAGACTATTACCATCTAAATGAGCACCAACACCTTGATGACTGGGAATATAAAGAACATCGTTTCAGTACCATCTCGTTGCGGAGGTGCATACTACATGGACTCAATGGTGTCTCTCGTCTATCTCTATATCCGACGCATATGTTGATGACTGACCAATGTGGAAGAGCTGACCAGTTCGCTTGCCAGCCCGCTAGTAATGCCGAGTCTATACAAATCAGCGGAAAGGAGAGCAATGTCGCCAGTATACCGCTCGAATTCGCTTTCGAATACCCCCTTCTTGGGAAGATCAAGATGGATATGAAGTTTGTTGCTTATCGACAACAAAACAAGGCTCTGTGTGGAGGATTCTTGGGGCGTTAATTCCCAAATTATATACTTAAATAAGCTGCACAGAAGGAGTCTTGTTGAACTCTGAACGGATTGCTGTGACAGTCGGCTGGTGTTTGGTTACTTGTCTTATTGCTGGCAGTCATGTTGCACTTGGTGCTGCTGTTGTGGAGGATCGATGGGGATTTGGAAGATATCATCGAATGGCCAGACAGACGTATGAATTTTCGATATCTTGTGTGCTTGGGACTAAGCATCGGGTGGTGGGATGGTGGATGTTGGAAGATTAACTGCCGATGAATGGTTCGGCGGGGTTGGTATACATCAGATCTAGAGTACTTCTTGGTCTTGCAGTGGTTTTGCCTTATTATGAAAGGGATACTTGTTTCTTTCAGTTGTCACTAATTGGTTGAGAATCGCTTGTATATATTCAGGTTTATTCGGATAATAGCCGATGACTATCTCCAACATTATCATCTACAACTGTTTTCCTATAACTATGTTATCCAAGTCCACCGGATTTCATCATTCCTCCCAAATCTAAGCCAATCCCATATCCTTGTAGAAAGCATCGGTCTTGGGCTCACGGCCAAGGAACTCCGTCAACGTGGTCATCTCATCCTGGCTACCTCCCTTCTCGAGCACCTTGTACCGGTAGCGACGGCCAGCTGTAGGGTTCATGGGGTCATCCTTGAAGACGGTGTAGAACATGTCGGTCGAGTACACTTGGGAGCTGTTATGACAGTATTAGTATGTGAAAGACGATGAAGAAGGTGAGGTGCCATACCTCAGGTAACCATAATAACCAGCATCATAGCCACCAATCAAATGACCAAAGGTGGCTTCACCATGCCCCCATTCCTCGCCCAAGCCCAGGCTCTCTGGGCCCTCCATCTGTGTGATCTGCTTGCGCAGGGAATTGTATGTAGCCGAGATTGGAAGCTCCTTGATCTTCTCGTGGCTTTCAGGCTGGTGGACGGTCATGTCGAAGATACCAAAGTGCAACTGGCGAAGGTTGAAGAGGGCATCGTTGACGTGCTTGGTGCGGATGAGGTTCTCGATCACAGAGTCAGGGATCTGCTCAGAGGGGGCTTCCTGGCTGCCTGCTTGCTCCTTCCAGGCGGCGAGGTAGTCAGGAGACAGCGTGGAGTAGTGCTTGCTGAGAGACTTGAGCTGGGATGGGGTCCAGCACCAGTTCTCGAGCATCTGGCTAGGTGCTTCGACGAAGTCCCGGACGGTGTTGGTGCCGTGGAAACGGGAGTAGATTGTCTTGGCGACCAAGTCGTGGATACCGTGGCCGAGCTCGTGGAAGAGAGTCACGACTTCATCGTGCTTGAGCAAGCTGGGCTTCTTGGGGGTCGGCTTGGTAAAGTTGCACACCAGTGCAGTGGCTGGGTAGCGGCGGTTGCCCTCCGCGTCGATGAAACCCTGTAGTTGTCAGTAATGATTAATTGTTTGCGCTGTGAGGTGCATACCGGCTGCAGGTTGAAGTTGGCCGCGTGGCCGTACTTGCCGGTCCGGGGGAAGAGATCCAAGTACAGGTAGCCGACGAAGCCGCTGCCCTCACCCTCATCGTTCCAGACGCTGAATATCTGGACATCCTCATGCCAGACAATGTCGCTGCCCTTACCGGTGGGAGCCACCTTCTCCCGGTCCTCACCAGTGATCTCCACAAACACGAGACCGAAAAGCTCCTCGAAGATCTTCAGCATGCCCTCGATGGTGGTCTGAAGAGGGAAGTATTCGGCAATGAGTTGCTGGTCCAGAGAGTAGTCCTTCTCCAACATAAGGCGATCATAGAATCTGTGATCCCACAGGTAGTAGTGGCCATCGAACTTCTCTCCACGGGACTCCAGGTCGGCCTTCTTGAACTCGAGCAGGCTCTTGATCTCCTTCTGCCCACCGGCCGTCAGACGGGACCGCAGATCACCCAGGAAGGTGTTGACTGTCTCCGGGGTCTTGGCCATCTTGTCCTCAATGCGGAATGCCGCGTGGTTGGGATAACCGAGCAGACGAGCAGCCTCATCACGCAGGATAATGGCCTCTCGGAAAAGAGGCACGTTCTGGTTGCACTTGTTCTCATTCTGGATCATGACCTGCTTACGGGTCTCGGGATTCTTGGCGTACTTCATGGTCGGGAAGAGGTCGGGGTACTTGAAGGTCAGCCAGAGCTTGCCCTCGTGCTCACCCTCACCCTTCTTCAACCCAGCCAGGACATCCTCGGGGACACCGTCGAGCTCTTCGCGGGTGAACCAGATTCCTTCGTTCTCCTCGTTCAAGTTCTTCTGGAACTCAATGCTGATCTGACTGAGACGCTTCTTGATCTCCTTGAACCGGTCACGCTTGGGACCAGCCGGGAGACCCAAGCCATTGCGGATGAAATCCTTGTGTTCCTTCTCCAACAGACGGCGAGATTCGGGGTCGAGAGACTCGTTCTTCTTGAGGACGGCATCAACAAGCTTGTACACATCCTCGCGCATGGCAGCCTCAATGAAGAACTCATCCATCAGCTCCTCCGCCTTGGACGACGCATCCCGCAGCTCTTGTTGGGTCGACACAGCCTGGTAGAAGCCGAGAATGTGTGATTCGAGGGACATAACGTTCTCATCCTGTGCCAAGGGCTTCAGGACAGCGTTGAATGTCGCTGATTCGGGCTTGACGGTAGCCACGACGTCATCCTGAACTTTGCGGGAGGCCTCAATGAGCCGCTTGGCGTCATCGACAATGGACTGAGCGGTTGCGGTGAAGACGGGGGGAGCCTGAGGAGGGCGGCGGAGGTGTTCGGGTGCCATGCTGGCGGTTGTGAGGGATTTGCGAAGGTTTGTCAAAGCTAAGTGGGAGGTTGAAGGAAGTCGAGAGCCGCGGAAATGGCCCAAGACCGTGGAAAGTCTGAAGACGGGAGAGGAAAGGCGAAGCGGGGGAGCCACGGTGACGAGAAGAACGCCCACGAGAAGGACGAGGAAGGCGGGCAGATAAAAGGTGCGATGGAGAGGGGAGCGAATGGTGACGGTAAGAGGGGCAGAAGGTGGTGAAAGGCGGGGTGGCAAGCAAGCTACTGCAATGGAAGAAGCGGAGCAATACGTGGCTCGACAGTGGACTCTCGGCGAAGCTGTTGATGATGCAGAAGTGCAGCTGAGCTGGTCCCGGCGGAGCCAGCAGTCCGGCCGATCATGTGTTTTCTCTCTTCCACCACCACCATCTTGCCCCCATCTTCTCTTTCATCTTACTAGTTTGTCAGACTCCACACTTCCTGTTTGGTTGATGATTCTTCTACCTTATCCATCATTTTCTCATGACGAAGCTATAGCTCTTTGACAACCGGATCCACTCTACGTCTGCCGGGTCCAGCTCTCTATGATATCCACTTCTACAGATCTATGCCGTAGCTACGAGAGCTAGAAATCTACTGAAGGCAACTGCTCATAAACATGTATCACACTTTGGATATCTGGATTCTATGCAGGATTTCAACAATCAAGGTCCCTCGTCACATCTCGTCGCTTTTTTCACATGGAATAGGTAAACCCGTGTCGACTCAAAAAACTCGCTCCGTCGACATGAAAAGTAGGCCAACTCCAAATAACGCCATACACACTAAAGAATGAACGCCCCGGGTGCTAAATTAAAGACGAAGGATCGTCGGAGTGGGAAACACAGCGTATTCGCAAATGGTACATCAGAATAAAAGGCGAAAGGTCATGGACAATACGCCGCTTACGCAGCATCGGCAGTGGGGATAGGCTCAGGGATCTTGGTGACCTGCTCACCGGCCCGGATCACCCGCTGGCCGGCATCGTCGCGAACATAGCCGGCGCCCTCCTTCTGAGCCCGCTTCCAGATCTCAACCTCACAACCACCGCGGATCACACCCACACGCATGGTAGAGAGAAGGTTGTGGGCGGCGTTGGAATGGTAGTACACACCACCGTTGAACATGGCAGTAGCGTCCTTGCCGATGCCGGAGTTGATCATGGCCTTGCCACCGGGGTGGTCCTTGATGAAGTCGGTCACGTCGTGGACAACACCAGCAATAGCAACGAGACCACGGCCGTTCTTAGCCTGCTCGACATAGTCGTCCCATTCCATAACGGGAAGCTGGTCGAGAGGAGTACCCCAATCGAGACGAGCACGCTTCTGATCAAGCTTCTTCTGGAGCTGCTGGACACGACCCTTCTCGATCTCGTTGGCACGGAACTTCTTCAGGTCGTAGGCGAGACCAAGCTGCTTCCAGGCCCAGATGCTCCACTTGGTCGGGTCATACTGGTGCCACTCGATAGCGTTGCGGTAGTCAGAGGGGAACTCGTGGTGAAAGTTGTGGTATCCCTCGCCGAGAGTGACAAGAGCAGTGATGACGTGGTCACGGGGAGAGTTGCGGTCGTCGAAGGGCTGGTCACCGAGCCAGTGGGCCAGAGAGTTGACACAGAAGGTAGCCTGCTGAACGAAGAAGATACGCAGGATACCGGCGTAAACGAAACCACCCCACCAGTCACCCCAGCCAAGACCGGAGACGAGCATGGGAACAATCAGGCCCATGGTGAAGACGACCTTGAGGTAGTTGCGGTGCTGCCAGACAACAACAGGGTCTTCGTTGAGATCGGAGATATCGGTGCGGCCAATACGCTTGGGGTTCTGCTTCATGACCATCCATCCCAGGTGGGAGTAGAGCAGACCCTTGCGGACGGAGTAGGGGTCCTTGTCGGTATCGGTATAACGGTGGTGAGCCCGGTGATCACGCGCCCACCAGCGGATAGAACCTTCGACGGCACCACCACCAACAGCGGCGAGCCAGATACGGAGAGGAAGACGAGCAGAGTAAGAGCAGTGAGCCCAGAGACGATGGTATCCTGAAAGCAAATTTTATCAGCATGTTGTCTTGAAGTATGTTACTTTCCAATAGGGCAAACCAACCTGCGGTGATACCCAGACCAGTGAAGAAGTAATAGATAACGGCCCAGATAGCAGTCTTGACCTGCAAGGGCACCCAGAAGGCCTGAACACAGCCGTACACGGGGATACCGATGATGAGGAAGACGTTCAGCCAGTTGACATGCTTGTACCAGTTGCCGCGTGTCATGACAGTATCAGCAATGTGGACCTTCTTAGGGTCAGCGGCGCGAGGCCGGGAGGCGTCTGCTGGCTTTGCAGACATGGTGATGTCCTTCGTGTGTATTGTCGACCCCTGCAGTATGGTTCGGATGAGGAGGAGAAGGATGCGTGCGGGAGAGGGTGGGTTTAAAGAGAAGAGCCGGAGGCGAGCGATAAAAAAGAGACGGAGAAAAAGGGTGGGGAATGCAATCGAAAGGCCGAAGAAGTAAGCGGCAGATCTGAGCCAGTGAAGGAGGGAAAATTCGGAGGCAGTTGAACTCTACCAGGGTCCACCGGCGGATGATGGTTGGGGAAAAGCAAGGCGGACAATCAATGATAATGATGCGACTATGAGGACACCCGCATGGAATAAGTTAAGAAGGGTGGCCTGACGGCAAGTTCACTGGTAGATCAGTGAAGTAATCATGAGATCCCGAGGTCCCAAAGTGGCCGACGGTTCAACAGACACAAGAAAGGGAGCGTGAGGAAGGGGACTACTACCACAGTATTATCCAGGCACGTCTGGAAGGTGTCCGGATGGCAGAGTGTATCCGCGATGGCAAATGGCCGGAGTATCTCCAACCATACAGCGCCGCCTGTTCCTCCAACTAAGCTTGTTGGGCTCCCTCTGATTCGATGGCGCTGCTCGGCCAGAAGCTGCCGCTTTGGGTAAGGTCGGGAGCGGACCACCAATCAGAACAGTTCAACCATTCGTTGAATCCCCAACGTTTTTTGCCCCTTGATCGCTCTGTGTGGCTGGTGTCATTGCTCGGGTGGCTTGACTGTGGCTATCCATCCCGATTGGGATTGCGGGACGGTTTCCTTTTCCGCATCAAAGTATTGCCTGCTCGGAGTAGCACCACTCCATCTAGCTTGCGACTCGAGCAATAGTCCCTATTTCTTCCAGAGTTGATCCTAATTCTGGAGAATTGAAACATTGGAGTCATTGCTTATGCTGTGGCCACACTAACGCATTCTAGTGCTATAATCAGCATGCCTTGGATCAGTCATTGGTCCACTCAGATCAGACTTTTCCGCACAGGGCAGCCCTATGAGTGGACATTATTGCCACCGGCCGAGTTTGAAACATCAAATTCCGTTTTGGCATGACTGCGAGCCGCAAGCTCCTCGGCACAAATTGTTTCCGGGTGCTCCGTTGATGCTCCTTTGAATAGTCCGGAGAATGAAAACCTGATGATCGTCGCCACATGATTCAGGCATGCATTCACCCCCAACACTTTCCACAACGGTGCACCACGTGACCCATGTTACATTCCTCCCATTGACTCTTATCGCCTCAGGCAACCACATGATCCAAGCTTGGTTGGGACATGCCAACCCATCCAAGCAAGGGCGTCCCACACACCGCAAGTCTTGAAATCATTCCCCAGACAAGGGATCAATCTCACTGGACCCCCACGTTATCAGATGGCCCCAGTAGCATTGAATCTAAATTATGGACCGGGGCCATGACAACTCCGTTGAACACGTCGTGCCACTTTCATCTGGTTGGGACAGGTCTCGCCCGGACCATATGGCACCTCTGGTTTGAGGTATATTCGAAAAGATCCTTCATCAACCGCCAATGAAATCATCAATTATTGGGAAGGTATCTGATTTGTCCAGCAATATGATAAACAGCGCATTGCGTGGACTTTGGCTGTTGCTTTTTCAGACTTGGCTGTAGATCCGTTGCGCTTCACTAGGTCCGGAGTATGGATAGACCGAGGTATATTACCAGAACGGTGAAGGAATCACATCCACTTTCAGCTTGTTGAAGCAGCGCCATTACGGGGTTACCTTCACATGAGGGATCAACTTAATTATTGAAAGTCACACACTCTCCGATTGATGTGGGTGTACTCCGTACTCCTGTTCGATCTATCTACTAATATACAAAAATATTCCAGATGTTGTAGATGTTTATCGATGAATTTCATCAGCTTATAACTGCTAGAGCCAATTCCCTCACCAAACAATCCTCTCACCGGTGGCATATTTCAACCGTGCTAATCATACTCAGGGAGTCACTACAGTTGCAGTGCATGTCCAGTGCATTTCACCACTGATTGCTCGACGCGCCAAAGGAATATAGTATATACTGCAGAAGACGCACTAATGATTCAGCAGTATGTATACAACTTGGTACTAGTATTAATACTTCCGATCACAAAACGCTGTGTCTACGGCTTACAGTACATTTGACCGTTACTAGTAGTGTTTATTCTATAATTATATGACCTCCCAGTACCGGTAGTACCTAGCACTCTCCAGGTAAAGCAACGCGATCATGAACGGGCGCATTACGACCCATTACTATTTCCAATAATCTTGATGCTACTTCTTCCACTCATATGTATCAATCTCAACAGCAATTGCTTAATATCTACTACAGTACCTGCACTATAATTCTTACGGGTAGTCCAACAGTGCAGCTATTGCACCAATAATCGAACACAACATTACTAGCCTAGCATTGCATCGCAGAACTCTAGAAGATACTGGACCACCATCGCATCTCTACCTCCGCTTACACAAATGAAAACAACATCATTAATTAAAAGGATATAAAGCTCCTCACATCCACATGACAAATTCCAAACATCATCAAAATATACACCACCTATTATCCAACGCCATTACTCACCACACTACCTCTACATACCTCCCTCCGAAATCACCCGCCAGGTAAACATCAAAAGCCTCCCTCCTTCCGGCCTTTGCCGATCCGAGGTTCGCAGTGGCAACGGAATTCGTGGTTCAGACTGACGGACCGGCTCCACTAGTAGCTCTAGCCCTTGCCTTTTCCCCACGGCTAGACAGTGCTCAGCCTCGTGCCGATCGAGGATCGTGTCGGAGAGTAAGGTTCCGAGAAACGGAGAATAGTGATTATCGGTTTATAGTAAGGGTGTTAGTGGAGGTATTTGTCACTGAAAATAGGCTATTTAAGGTTGCGCGCGATAGTTGCGGAGTGCGGGTATTTCCGTACACCGGGAGGTTATGTTCAGATGTGATTCATGTATGAGAGCATTGTTTATAATTTTGGAATCATGCCTGGGGGTGTGACTAGACATCGAGGATTATGTCTGGTGGATGGGCTATAAGTCTCTGGTCTCTGTCCCTGCTGGAGAGTAAGCTGTGGCAGGTTAAAATTCAGTTTTCTGTTCGGCACCTGGAGAAGTGTATGAGTAAGACTGTCTGTTGTGGCTCATGCCTTGGGGATTTGTGTCAATTATATACTCCCATACCATATATATATATATTCTAGAGATATGCGATTGAAGGTTCAGACAATACGTACGCACGACGTTCATCTACATCTATATCATGAACACTGCCTTAGCGGGTGGGAGAATGGCATTTGTGGAAAAGGCATAACCATTCAAACTCGTTCAATTCTTTGAATTCCCTGTCATTCCACTGTGATAGCACCAGATTTGTAGACATCATTTACCGACCGCTAGTTTATTTCGCATCTACGTATGGCTTACAAAGACGAATCAAGATAATCTTGTTGACCGTCAACATTCAGAAGAGATATTCAAGTTAACATTGGGTTGAAATAGTGAGGTAATTCAATAGATTTGAAGTCTTCGTATGGTATATATTCAATGTGGCAAACTGTATACAAACTGTTCAGTAATATCGACACCAGAACTTTCAAAGGAATAAGGGATGTGACATTTGATAGCCATGAGCGAAAGCGTCAGATTAATTTATAGCAACGGGCATGAACTTGCTCGACCGATGATGGAGTCTGATGTGTCAAAGAATGCCATTATCCTAGCTACTATGGACTATCAAGTTAGTACTATAGCGTACATTCAGTGCATCGTGGCTTGTCCTAGAAGAGCCTAGGAGACGGTTGGAAGCCTTCATATATAGTCATTAGCTACAATCATCGCAGTCAGCGTCACATAGTACGACTAAGAGCTATTAGTCAAAACAAATCAGTACATCTTGACAGCGATACTAGAGTTGCACACATAGAAAGATATTTATTAGAGGATCACGCAGGACCAAAAATGAAGTGAAGGATACGATTTCATATTCTTTAGAAAGCGAACACGGATCCTACAATTCTCACTCCTAACTTTTACCAGGGAGACAGATCGGAAGGCTGTTGAATTTCATACCACCTAATGACCATGGATCAAGAGAACTCAAGCTCATACTCCAATTCAGTTCTACCTGTATACTAGGTGATGCTTTTCACAAAACTTTAGGAGCAATATTGACTGCTGCTACGCTGTTAGTCACGGGCAGCAGTCAAGGTTACGATAAAGTTGGGCCTGATTGATTCTATGACTAATGGATTGCCGCATTGGGGCTGGTGTTTCCCCGGACTGCAACCCGGCGATAGAAGCATCGTCGGGCCTTCGGCCCTTCGATTCTCCCCTTATGCATGTCTGGCTTTAGCTTATATCAGTTCGATCACTTCCCCCCCGCGTCCTCCCACGAACTGGATGAGTTCTACTCCGGTCTCATCGGGTTCGTCAGCGAAAGACCCATCGGCCACCGGCTATCAGGGGGGAATGCAAGAGATGGATTTCGGCGGAACCCGATCTGGGGACTGATAAGCGGCCGGGGACGTTACATGAGGGCACCGTGTCAGCCGTCCGTTCTTATCGGAGGGCCCACAGTAGAAGCCTGAACGAGTGCAGCGTAATCGCCAGACGAACCAGTCATCGCTAGCGCTGCCCCGGTCTGCAGCAGGTTGCAGCTCGCTTGGAAATTAGCTCGCGTGTCTGCCACGCCGTCGCGAGAGATAACCGCTGCCTACCATTATTCGATTGATTCATCCATCATCTTCGCCACTGATAGCTGTATCATCCACGCCGGTCCGAGCTTCATTCATCCCGATTCATCTTCGAGCTCACGGAGGATGCTGCGTGTATATAGACACCTTGTCCGTCGATGTTTGGAATGGTTCTAGTCTATTCCCCAGATCCAACTAGTCATTGCTAGGAAGCGACCCCTCACTCAACTCGGACTACTTCATCTGGGTCCGGCTTTCATCATCGAGATATCTTCCATCTGTCCGCAACTCATCGAGTGTCATCTATACTTCTACATCAACATCCTTTACACCTAAGACTGTCTCACATAATGGACGGTCCTGACCAGATAGGCCCGGACTACCGGCCTAAGCGGACTTGGGGTGACGTAGGTCGCCGCTTTGTCAAAACCTTCACCACAAGGTCGGTCATGGAAGCTCGGAACACCAGTCGATGTGCTAATATTCCGTAGGGAGGGTCTCATTGGAGACTATGATTATGCCTATTTGTTCACTCCGAACATCCCCTTCATCACAAAGAAACGAAGTTCTGCACCGTTCTTCGGGCTCGAAGACAAGGTACCTATTGTACTAGCTCTACTGCTTGGACTGCAACATGCATTGGCGATGCTGGGTGGAAGTAAGTTCAGTCCTCTCTGAAACCTGACTAGTGCTGACCCGTCAGTTATTTCACCTCCTATCCTGATCGGAGGCACATCTGGTGCCAACTTCGGGACAGAAGACTACCAATACCTCGTCTCAACATCTCTCATCGCTTCCGGTATCTTGTCCGCCATTCAGATGTTCCGCTTCCACATCTACGGAACGAAATACTACATCGGTACCGGCTTGACTTCAGTCGTGGGAATTTCCTTCGCCACAATCACCGTCGCTACTGGTGGCTTCGAACAAATGTACTCTAGTGGATACTGCCCGACCGCCGAGGATGGAACCAAGCTGCCCTGCCCCAAGGGCTATGGCGCCCTGCTGGGGACTTCGTGTTTGTGTGCGCTGCTCGAGATTGGTCTTTCCTTCATGAGCCCTAAAATCCTGAGACGCGTCTTCCCCCCCCTCGTCACTGGTCCTACTGTTCTCTTGATCGGAGCCAGTCTGATCGAGTCCGCTTTCCAGGACTGGGCAGGTGGTTCGGGAACCTGCTCTGAGAATCCTGGCAACGGTGCTTTGTGCCCTAGCGCGGACGCACCGCATGCTCTGCCTTGGGGAAGTGCGGAGTTTATCGGTCTCGGATTTCTGGTGTATGTCTCGATCATTCTCTGTGAGCGGTTTGGAGCGCCTATCATGCGATCATGCTCGGTCGTGGTGGGATTGTTGGTAGGATGTATTGTGGCGGCTGCCTGCGGATACTTTGATCGATCGGGAATTGACGCTGCGCCGGTGGCCTCCTTTATCTGGGTGAAGACTTTCCCGTTGACCATCTACCCGCCCATGATCCTTCCACTGCTGGCAGTGTACATTGTGGTCATGATGGAATCGATCGGTGACATTACCGCCACGTGCGATGTATCCCAGGTCGAAGTTGAAGGGCCCACTTTCGACTCGCGCATTCAGGGTGGTGTGCTGGGCAACGGTCTCACTAGTGTACTGGCCGGCCTCATGACCATGACGCCGATGTCGGTTTTTGCCCAGAACAACGGTGTCATCGCGCTGACCAAGTGCGCCAACCGCACGGCTGGTTACTGCTGCTGCTTCTTCCTCATCATTATGGGAATTTTTGCCAAGTTTGCCGCTGCACTGGTTGCCATTCCCAGTAGTGTTCTTGGTGGTATGACCACGTTCCTTTTCTCATCGGTGGCTATCTCTGGTGTCCGCATTATCACCAATGTGCCATTCACGCGTCGCAACCGATTCATCCTGACCGCTTCGTTTGCAGTCGGCATGGGAGCCACCTTGGTATCCGACTGGTTCGACTACGTCTTTACCTACAGCGGTAACAACCGTGGTTTGACAGGATTGCTCGACGCGATTGATCTCGTGATGGAGAACGGGTTCGCCATTACCGCTCTAATCGGGTTAATCCTGAATCTGATCCTTCCGGAGGACCCAGAGGAGGAAGCGGCTATCCTGGAGGCACGGGGTGTTTACCGACGAAGCGAGGAGGTGATGACATCGAGGGAGAGCACGCAGTACACCAAGGGCGAGCCCTCGAGTGTTTAATCTGTTTTCTATTCTGTTTGATTTGATTTGGCGATACTATTATATTTGGATACCCTGGCCTAGATGGTCACATGAATTAATACATACAATACATTGAATATTGAAGCATTTTCATAGTAAACCCGTAACGAAGGGTTAAGTAGTTAAGGATACATCCACCATCTATCCGGGGCAATTCATCAGTCCCGAGACTTTAGTTCGTCCGGGCGGGCTCTCTCGAGTGTCCATATGTATTGCAGCACTGCATTGCCACCCGCATAATTAATCCTTTTGTTGCAACCCGCATGCCGGTGGCCCAGCTGACATGACCCGCAAATCCCAACGAGAGCAATAGCTCAGTCACTTGCAAACTGTCTCCTCCACCCGTCGACCCGGACCACTGCAATTGAGTAGGCCAGGCGGTATACACATAGACACTCCGATGTCCCAGGACCTCCTCCTGCCTTCGGTCAATCTGACGTGATGGGTGTTTCTGCGGCCTGCCGATCATTGCAGGGCACTTCAACAGTAGGTGCCTTGCATTCCTTTGCGTGGACTATGACGCGCAGCCACCCGGAGCTATCTCGAGCGAGACAACGCCCACGTATCGTCCGTCTTTTAGAAAGGGACGGGATGTCTTGACGTGGCAGCTGCCTGTCGACATCTGCAGAGCAACATGACAGCCTCCGCAGAGCGCTCGACCGCCAAGGGATGGAGATCTTCCAGCCAGTTCATCATCGGGACCGCGTGCCTGGCCATGTTTACTGGTACGAAGACACACCTGCTTACTGCCGCTAACAACTTTCCACATCCTCTAATCATACCAATAAACAGAGTCGCTTTTAGCCGGTTTCCCCGTGCCGATGCTCCCGTATATGCTAGAAGAGCGCCTTCACAACGACCCCTCCCAAACCACTGCTACCACCAACAGCCTGCTCAGTCTACACGGTCTGGCGTCAATAATAGCTGCCCCTTCTTGCGCGGCTTTGTTCGACACTATCTCAAACCAGAAAATCCCGCTTTATCTGGCACTTGTGCTTTGCCTGGTTGGGACTGCGCTGTTTGCAATCACCACCACATGTATTCGTCACCCCTAGCCGCACTTTCTTGCTGCTACGAATGCTGATAGTGTTTATGGCCCAGCATGGGTGCTATACCTGGGCAGGATTCTGCAGGCAGTTGCTGGCTCGGCTGCATGGCTCGCGTGTACGACCATGCTCACCGAGCTCGCAGGTAGTGCAGGAGCTGGGACAATGTTGGGACTGAGCATGTCTTCTGCAACTTTGGGAACGGTGAGCGGACCAATGCTTGGAGGCGTTCTGTTGGGCTGGTTCGGATACTGGCCAGCTTGGTCTCTACCAATGGTTCTACTAATTCTCGACATGATTGCGCGCTTTGTTCTGATTCAACCCGACCATCTTTTACTGGATTCACCGTCTCTAATCAGACATGCCGAGCGCAGCAAGCTATGTCATGAAATGGAGGAAACTGTGACGGAAACGTCCCCTTTCCTGCCACAATCGCCTTCATTTGGCTCAGATACCGCAGCGGAGGAAAAGTCTGACAACGCTGCGACTACGAAATATCGCAATTACTATACAGTAATGCTCCAAGATGCTGGAATGTGGGCAGGCGTTCTGAATACGATGTCCCAAGCTGCACTACGGGCGGCATTCAACGCTACCTTGCCCGTGTATCTTCGGGATACCTTTAATTGGGGCCCATCATCAGTCGGGGCGATTTTCTTTGCCCTCCAAGTCCCTATAATCTTGTTCTCTCCCCTTATTGGCCACCTCCGAGATCGTGTCGGTACACGATACCCAACGGCGGTCGGTTGGGCTCTTCTTTGCCCTCTGATGTGCTACTTGGGCATACCTGGCAGAGACGTCTCTCAGGCTAGTGGGAGCCGGACAGGTGAAGAGGTCGCTTTTATTGCGTGCATATGTGGTATAGGCTTAGTGATGCCATCGGTTCAAGGTGCCGGATCATTTCACATGCGCTGTAAGTTACATTACTTCGATTTTTTATATCACGCGGGAAATTCGATTTGAAGGTTTAATACTAAAAGTGAATAGTCCTCCTGGAGGAAGTTGAAAAAGATGCTCCCACCATGTTTGGCCCCAATGGTGGGCGTGCGAGGTGCTTCGCATTGGTGTCTATCTCGTTTAACCTCGGTCTGATGCTGGGTCCATTTGTTATTGGATGGCTGTTTGAGCAAGTGGGATACTATTATATGAATATCGCTCTCGGTAGGTCATGGCACGAATCATGTTCCATATGTGCGGCTCTAATAGTATGTACTCTAGGTGCTGCTTGCATGGGGGTGGCGGGGGTGACGTTTATATTCTGTTGATTGAGACGTGCCCAAGTATTTGTGTGGAGTGTACTATTTAGATCGTTCGTTACTGCAAAGGTTGAGGGATTTGAGGCGTTCCAGTCCATATTCTTTGCTTCAAACGGTGAAGTATCTGTATAGCTAGCATCTTACTTAGCGGACTCGATCAGATATATGTATTGAATTAAATTGAAGCGGCAGAAAGGTCGCAAAACAAACTTTTATTCTCTAGAGGTTTTTGGAGAAATAAGTTGGCTGAAGGGATCTGATATGGCTGACTAGTCAAGCTAAAAGTGTGGTGTCCAAGCAATTGCACATCACAAAAATTAGATGCTATATCTGAAGTTCATGGTTACCGCCACCATCTCACCGGATATTCGAGTCTTCACTCAATATGACGCTTCTTTCAGTCTCTGCAACAACCTCTCTATCCTCTCGTCGTCCCAGTCAGCCGAGAAAGTCATAGAAGCCCAGACTGATTCGCGCTTTGCCAAATAAGCCATGTCCACCGGGGTGTTGGCTCCGTCATCTTGAGACTTCACATTCGCCAGAGCTCCTCGTTCCAGGAGAGCTTCGATCATCTCCCAGTTGCCATTGTCTGCTGCGCAATGCAAGGGCGTGCGACCATAGTCGTTAATAGCGTTGATGTCCGCGCCAGCATCGAGTAATATCCCAAGGTTTTCCGGAGTACCCCTTGATGCAGCGGAGTGGATTGGTAAACTGCCGTTCAAGAGCCTCATATTCATGTTCGCACCGTGTTTATGGAGAAGTGACTTGAGCCCGTCCGATGTGCGACAGGCCGCCGCAACATGCAAAGCACTGAAGCCTTCAGAGTCCTGATCATCTAATATTGAACCCGCTCTTAAGAGCGAGTCAATAATTTCGGGGTTACCATTTTCTGCTGCAATGAGGAGGGGAAACGATGGTTTTCCCTCCTCTACGATTGTGCCTCTCTGATTTGGATCGGCACCTCTGTCCAGTAGTGCATTGATAAGGTCGGAATTTTGATCTCGTACCGCGTACAAGAGAGGTGTGCCGACTGTGTCGGGCGAACTCGGTGTGACCATTGCGCCATGTCGCATCAAGAGTTCGGCTATCTCTCGATCGTTGGCCTTGACTGCCAGTGTCAGCGCCGTTTCACATATTAGGTCAGGTGGCCACCAGCGAAGACCGTCTGGTGAAGTGCGGGATCCTGTGAGACGACGATCGTCGGCTACCTGGGGGCAGGTATTAACATCAGCTCCACGCTGGATCAGCAGCTCCACAATGAGTGGTCGAGTGGCGGCAACAGCATCAAGCAGAGGCGCTGTGTCTTCAGGTCCAGGGTTGAGCTGATCCTGCAATCCATTGTCGAGCAAATGTGTTACGATAGAGACTGAACCACCCCATGCGGCCGCTCCCAATAAGGAGGTTTCATCATCCGGCTCTTGGCGATGCATATCTGCTCCTCTGTCCATGAGCAACTGGAAGGCCCAAAGATCTGCATTATGAACAGCATCTCGTAAGCTCCGGTGTGTATCTGCTCCGTTTTGCAGGAGGAGATCAACGAGATCTTTCCTTCTTTGAGATAGGGCGCTTCGTAGAGACCGATGGGCATCCACTCTTGCGCCTGCATTGATCAAGACTTGGGCGAGTATGAAATTCCCTGCTTCTACCACAGCTCTCAAAGGAGTCGAAAAGCTAGACTCCAAGTTAGGATCTGCTCCGCGAGATAGCAGCTCATGCACAATCGCAGTATGACCGCCTATTATCGCCGATTGAAGCGCTATTGGGTGATCCGAGACTTGCGCGTGGCTGTCGACGCTGAGGCCCTCGTCTAGGTATTGTCGCACGAGCTTCTCGTCACCTGCCCGAGCTGCGTATCTTAATGCTTCGTCTGGTGTAATTCCATGGGCTAGCAACTCGCGCAATATCTCAACGTGGCCGCCAGCCGCGGCCTGATATTGTGCGGCAGTGATGCCACTCTGGACGGACCTAATGACTGATGGTTTCCGGTGCTTCATGCTCCTTGCAGTTGTGATGCGCTCACACCCCAGCAATTTTCTCACGATATCAAGACGACCACTACAAACTGCAACCACTAGGGCTGATGGAGGGTCTCCATTGAAGTGGTGGTAGTCCTCAGCTCCGTAATTGAGTAGAGCCTCACAGACAGGTAGATGGCCTCTCGCGACAGCGAAAAATAAAGGATCCGACCTTTGGCCCTGAAAACCCTTGGATTCGGGTAGTTGACATTGGCACCAGCTTCTAGCAACGTGACAGCAACATCTAAATGACCTTGGGCAGCTGCTGCACCAAGCGCCGTACTCAGAGCACCGCCTTTTGCATTGACTTCGGCAGTTGCCTCTATCAGTAATTGCACTATTTCCAGGTGGCCCATGCATGCGGCTGCTTGTAATGGACGGTAGTACAAGCCGCCGGAGACATTTGGCGATGCACCTTTGTCGAGAACTGCTTTCACCACCCGTGTCAAACCACAGTAGGAAGAGTAATATAGTGCTGTACTGTCATTGGTATCGCTCAATTCATCCGGCAGCCATGGTCGGTCAACATTTGCCACTTTGGTCCATAGCCTAAAATAAGGCCCATCTTCGTCAAACAGATCGAGTAAGATAGACTCTAGTTCAAAGGATTGCCAAGCGCCTTGAGAAAGTTCCTTATGCTCATACCAAAAGTGCCCTGCATAGCGTGCCAGCGGATGATAAATCCAGAGGTCGCCGGCAGCAGACTGAACCGCATGGTGAAAGTACGCAAGGCTACAGCTAGCCAGGAACGCATGAGACAATCTGATATCCATAAAGAAGTCGGAGCATGTGCCTCCCAAGATTGCGTCAGAAGTGAGGAACTCCCGAACGGTGAAATGGGCTAGTTTGATATACACATCCTGGGTGCCTTTCGTTTCGTCCCCATCGCAGTAAGTCGAGACAAGACTGGAGCAGGAATCAATAAAGCTTTCTGGGTCGAGAAGTTCTAAATCCTCGTCAATGCAAGGAGTATGTTCACGATCGACATTAATAGCTATGGCACTTGTGACCTCATCGAGAGATAGCTGCAGATGCGTCAGAGTGGGAATGATTCTTGACTTCCTATTGTGATGACCACTCACCGGCCGAAGAGCAAAGGCTACCCAGCGTAGGAGGTTCTTCACAGACATGCGGTTGCTCTCATCTATCTTGCTAATCGCCATGAAGTAGTGTTCCTCCAGTGACTTTGGTAGATCCTTGAGAGCTTTTTGTACCGCCTGTGGTGTCGCACACCGTCGCAGTGTCTGCAGCTGGCAGTCCATCAAACGGAATCTGAAAAAGGAGTTAGCCATTCAGCAGTACTATTGATCAAAGCTGAGTACGCACGATCCATTGGCTTGGACCAAGAGAGACTGCTCAATCTTTTTCTTCAGCGACATTGGCCACCGGGCAAATTTGGCCTGATGCGAAAATTGGTGTCGCAGTGCTGTCTGCATATCAAGATTCACTGTTGAGCTGTCAATCGTAACGGTGGAGGTTTTAAGACTTTTGAAAGCATTTCGAAGCTGCTCCAAGTTTCGGCCAAGCACAATCAAATGCCGTTGGCCTTTTGTCTGCTTCATCATCTTCTTGATGAGTTCCGTAATCCCAGAAAATCCGTCCTGGAGGTATTCTTCGCATTCGTCGAGACCATCGAGAACAATGTAATTATGCTCAAATTGCAATAAGAGGACATCCACTAGCTCTTTCAATGAAACTGACTGCTGTTCGCCGCATAGACTGCCATACATCCTCCTCCTTCTCGGGAGATAGCGAGGAATGGTTGCCCCTTGATGAATCAGCTGCCTGATAAAGGATCCATACACGCGGTTGATGTCGACTCCTCTTTCTTCCGATGCATCCATGAAAAAATAACAGAGGCTGCTACTTTGCTCTCCACCACCGTAGTCCTGAAGATCCTTGATAATCCTCGCACTGCTTGCTGTCAGCGCATCAATTCAACATGGGCACAGAGACACTCGTAGACTTGAATCGATAGGGAGCTTACGTACCATAGGACGGTTTTACCACAGCCAGCTAGAGCAGGGTGATCAGTGGTCGATAAAGCTCAGAACTGAGGGCGTCACTTACCAGCTCCCTGGATCCACAAGATTTTGTTGGGATTGGTCTTCCATTTCATGTATTGCGCTGTGTTCAATAGCCAGTCACCAGTAGCTGGAGCACATTTTCGGTACTCTTGCTTTTGCTTGGCTGATTGGCTGCCTCCACCCAGCTGGTTGAGAAGCTCAGCGAGTAGATCTAAGACTGTTAATAGCGGTCTTATCAACTCTGTGAATCTCATCTTACTCTCGTCAGATTGAGCCACACTCTCTGAGAGTCTAGTAATCTTTTTGTCAACACTCGGCAACAACCGGGTGAGGTTTGATACTTCCATAATGTTTTGGCTGGACGAACTGTCAGCAAAGTTAAGGGTAGTCGGTAACAAACCACCCACGTATTATCAGCGGCCAATGCTAATTGCAGCGTGCTCTTGATAGCCGCAAGGACTTGTAATCTTTTTCCCGCGTCTGCGCGTGGCAACGGCCACGCCAGAGTACGCCTCGAACTGGAGACTTTCCCCAATTTCAAACTTGCTGTCAGGTCCTGCAATTCGACCAAGCACCTGCGGAGAGTGCCATCATCCCCACCCATCGCCTGTAAAGACGATAGAGACGGGGCACTGTCGGACTCAATGACCTTCACCAGTTGCTGTGCGATGCTCCCAACACTGACGACCTCGTCCAGAATCCGAGAGATATCTCTGGGCGCATCCCGGACGCCCATGCGGTAATCATAGCATATAGACATCAACTTACCACATACCTGGACGATGCCCATGAGAGTGCCTACAAGGCCGATCGGATCAACCATATTGAGTGCACGTGAGCATGCAAATCAGAACAACGCTGCTTGAGGCACTATTCCACGGCAGGGGGCGGCCTACTCTTCAGCATTGAAGATGGCATTTGATGTATGAGCCAGCGGAGGGGGACGAGTCTGTGGATTTTGCCTCGTCTGTCAGATAAACTAGTCCATACATGGACATCACGTGAAATTATCTCGCAAGGCTGCAAACAAAAGGGCAAGTGAGTAGCTCAGAGAACAGGTGACTGCTCACTGAGCAAGCCCTTGAGTACCTCATTAAAGCGGCGGCGTCCAGCAGAGGAAAGCCAAGGCTATTATAGAAAAACATGTACATATAGGAGCACATAAAGAGACATACCACACAAAGAACTCTACTAATGCAATAACAATACAATGTTATCAACATCTCTACGAAAAGTGAAAGTCTACAGCTTGACTCTACCAATCCAGTGGTTGAAGGGTGAGCTGGTGGAGTTGACAGATTGCTCTTCGACGAACATTTAGTTTGTACTGCGCATCGACCCGTAAGCTCCAAGAGAATCACCGTGAGTCTACTCAACCACTTCCCCGGACCCAGCGGTATCCTTTTTCAGGAGCAGGTGACATTTCAAAGGGCCATGCGGATCCGAGAATCCATGGCAGGCGAAGTGCACCAGCTCGGCGTGCTGAAGCTGGTTCAGTACTTCGTCACCGTCCGCCAGCATTACTTATTATTAGCCCTTGCCGTTATATTTTATCTCTTGAATTAATCTAGCACATACGACCACAGGGTGTGGAAAATAGGGCTTCCCGTCCGCTCAGCCGTACTCAAGCCACACGCCGGGAGGTTAGTAGTTGGGTGGGTGACCACCAGCGAATCCCTTCTGTTGTATGTATTTTTCTTTTCTCTTTTTTATTTGTCTTATAGATGTTATGATGACTTTTGAAGACGTTACAAAGACCCCTTTGCCCCTGCTTTTGCATACGGGACGAGTTCTTTGATTTGGGGTCCATTGACAGACGTACCTCCGCAGACGCGGCAAGAGTTCGAGAGACTCCTTCAAATCGGGTGCGATGGACCTCCGAGAAGCCCAGAAGTCTGCTGCCAAGATAGTAATTACGCCTGGAGGGATAATCTTGGAGTTGATGTTGCGGATGAAATGTGGAGACTTATTGAGGCTATTTCGGACTATGATTTTGAAAGATAAGAGATTTGATGATGTTATGGGGGGGGCGAGAATAAGATGAACGCTGAAGAAGTACGCCGTAAAGAGGGATTTCATAGTAGAAAACTTGAAGCGTTATTGCATTTGGTATGGCCCTAAGCATCAGGGATGGAGTACTGATTAGAAGACATGTCTCACATTGTATTTACCATTGTTACGTCATACTTATTCAGAATAACGTAGATATAAACATGTCAAGCAAAATACTCTACTAATACAATAATGATACAATATTATCAACAGCTCAACAGAAAGTACAATGATTAATCACACTCCCTCAACCTTCTCCCCCGGCGCCAGCATCTTGATATAACAATGCTCACCCGTCTCCAATACCGTAATAGGATCATTAACCCGCAGCGTGAATTCTATACCAAACAATTAGCTTCATCCAAAATCCCAAAATAAAGCGACAAAGAAGATGATAATACCTCTAACAGCAGGAACACACTGCATGCCCAAACACGCATTCGTCAAATCTCCCGCATCAATCCGTCGGTACCTCTTCAACGTGCGATCCGGCTCCCTGGGATGTCGTACCCCAGTATCAGGATCCACATTGGGCAGTTTACACCGGATAGTGCGGCATGCTGTGTAGATTTCTACCCCATCCGCATCCCCAGAGGAACCACCAATAACTATCCTCTTCCACTCATCTTCCACGAACTTCCCCGGCCCCTGAATAATCACATTCGCCCTGAACCTTCTCACACTCAACTCGGGGATCTCATCGGCACAGTTGGCGGCAACATCCCTCACGCTCGCCATATTGAGTAAATGGATCGGATACGCGTCTGCGAAGCCAGTCACGGGCTGGAAGCCTATCTTTTCTTTGCGAGGAGCGTTGCGGTAGATTTCTCGTCTGTGGATGTGGCTTGCGCGGAAGAGGGAGAGTTGTCTCCGTTGGTGGGGTGGGAGGGTAGTATCGTATGTTAGGAGATCCTTTAGGGACTGTGGAAGAAGGTGGGAGTAGTTGTGTGCGAGGGGGATGTCTTTCCAGATTTTGACAGGGGTAAGGGGGAAATCAGTTAATGAATGTGGTGGGGGATCGAGGGGGATGGTGAAGGATGATTGGGATGGGAGGATGTGTAGGGTTCTTAGCAAGGTGACTAAGGGGCTGCGAGATGGTGGGAGGGGGTAGTAAATAAGTAAAACGCCGTTCGAGAGTGTTTCTGGGTTTGTAGGGGAATATGTAGGCGAGGATGGATCTGGGATCCAGATCTCTGGACGGAGGAGGGCCAGCTGTCGAAAGTCACGGTCTCGGAGGGTGCGAGCTGTCCAGGTTCCATTATTCTCTTCTTGGTTGTTGGTTGAGGTAGATGTATTGGTGGTAGTAGGTTGTGATGAAGGGAAAAACTCCGCAAAACAGAACAACCGATCATATTTCAACCCCGTCTCTATGACATCTGCTGCCTCGAGCTCCACTCCCCCGCAGCTCTTAATCGGGTACGTGAAGAGTGCTTTGATGCGCCATGCTGAGAGCCCGGTGTCGGGGTCTGTGGCGGTGCTGGGAGCGCCGTGGGCGTATTTGGGTGAGTATTCGTCGTGGAGATTGGAGCGCTGGGAAGGAGAGAGACCCAGTCTGTGGCAGCCTTTTGGGGGCGGAGGTGTGGGGTTGAGGTAGGGGAGAAGGAGAATAAGGCAGAGGAGGATGGGAAGGATGATGGAGAGGAGGGTGGTTTGGGGGGAAATTAGACCATATTGAATGGTGGTGGTGATGCTAGGGAAGGAGTCTAGCATTGGCGTAGTATATAGTGAGTAAGGATAGTAATTATTTGGTTGAGATTGGTGATTATGGTGATGATAGAGTAGGCGATAAAAATCGTTCCTGAAAATGGCATCGGCAGTGATTATCAGATTATCAGTCGGCCCGGTGTCGGAAGATGCCGATGGTGGGTCCGCGATGGGCTGGATTGAGAATGAATCAGGTTGCTGTTATCCTTGCGAGACATGTGGATTTCCCATTCCATCAATTACGAGTAAATGCCTGAATGTTGGTGAGATGTGTCATTACCCTTGCTTTCTACTCTTCCATCAGCATAGCCCGGCTAGCCTAATTTTATTCATTTCTCGCGCCAGCAGCAATGCTGGAGCTCAGCACAGCAAGTAACAGATGTAATCACAGATTTCCGCGCAATGCCTGTTCCCTCTCAAAAGCTTCGAACAGACTCTTAAAGTTTCCAGCTCCAAACCCATCAAAATTCTCTCTCTGAATAATTTCCATGAAGACAGTAGGACGGTCACCCACGTGCTTCGTAAAGATCTGCAAAAGATATCCTCCTTCATCGAAGTCGATAAGAATATTATATTTCTGCAGAAGGGTGATGTCTTCGGCAATTTTGACGTTTCTCATAGCTAGTCGCTCACGCATCTTGATGTAATAGCTGCTAGGGACTGAAAGAAAGCTTACGCCGCGCTGTGTAAGGTTTTCAACGGCTTCAATGATGTTGTTGGTTCGGAAAGCGATATGCTGACAGCCTGCTCCTCCGTAGTAGTCCACAAATCTAGAAAAGTATATGAGCGCTAATTATATCATATGATTGATATTGTCCGGGGATGTTGCGACTCACTCTTCAATTTGAGATTTCTTCAAACCGGTGGCTGGCTCGTTCATCGGCATTTTGATCACATTGTCAGGAGATGCTACAACGACTGATCGCATGGCCGAATAGTCCGAACACATATCTTTGTCGTCCACAGACCAATACCGGTGGAAGTTCAAAGCATCTTCGTAACTAACATGGTGATGAGCAAGGGCTGTGGACGCGTCGTAATAACAGAAAAGAGAAGAGGGTAGAATGAAACTGCCTACTATTTGACAATCCCGTCAAGACCATCCCAAGGTTGGTTCCCAACGCAGTGATCAATTTCAATCAGGTCCACCCTGGGAAGTAGCTCATTCAGAGCATTCATATCATTTACAGGTCTAAATCCGGGAAGGAAAACTCCTCGGTAATTTGACCGATTGATCAGAGTGTGAGCTGTATCGCCATAAGTCTTGATTGTCGCACAGAGAACTTCCCCATCCTCTTCATCCGTGACTAAAGTTGGTTTCTGAATAGAAACTGCCCCATTCTGGACTGCATGCTCCCACACGCCTCTGACATCGTCAACCTGAAAGGCGATATCCTTGACTCCGTCGCCGTGCTTGATCAAGTGCGCTTGAATCTCACTGAACAGACTGCGGTCCTTTTCGGACACATGCTTGTCGGAGGGGATGTTCTGNGGCCCAGTTATTGGGGCAGTCAGCATAAAGCGAGCGTTCCCGTTAGCAACAACATAGGAAGTTGTCAGGTGCGATCCGGTTTCTGGTCCACTGTATGCAATTACCCGGAAGCCAAAGTGCGCGACGAAGTAGGTGGCTGCTTGACGGGCATTGCCAAGATACCAGGAGATATAGTCGAACCCTGTGTAGTTTGGATTGATGCTCTTAATCACAGCCAAGTTGGGCGGAACTTTAGATGGTTCGCTGTTGACAGCGGTGGGACGCATGCTGTGCAAATAGTGAGATCTAAGAATAATATCGGAGGAGATACTAAAGATGATGAAGCAATCTGACAAGAATACTGAAGCCCTACGATGCCTTGGGCTACTGGCCTGGCATACTGTTCCCGGACTAAATTTATAAGCCATCCTTGGAAATGTATTGCGGGCTATCTTTCGGAATACAGTGTAGATTGGAGAGATTTGCCATCTTACATCTCAGCTGATGCATCATGCATCATGCATGCTTGTGGGGAAGGGAAGAAGGGCTGAAAAAAAGCAAACACTGAAACCTCCTTGTCATTGTGTAATTGCAAGCTAGTATACTAATGATATGACGCTCGTCAATTTGCCACCAATTTTAGTTGCATGAAAGCGGCGCTCGCAAGACTTCCCATCTTGATCTGGCTATTGTATTTGCTTGAGTATCGATGCATTAGTATTGTACTTGAAAGATAAGGATGAAGGGGAGCACAAGGTACCGGTGAACCCGGGCCGATTTTCGTGCTGAATCACGACACCGACTGTATGAGTGACCGCCTTCTTGCTTTTGAAGCCACTGAAGCCTCTTCTCGAAGATCCTCGGGGGCTCTCCCCTCGCGTCAGCAAGGGTGAGGAATAATGATTCAGGTCTCTTTAGATGAGAGGTTAGCTCGGAAAGGTAGAACATCATCTTTCAGTTCCACACTTTACTTGATACGGCACCGGTCAATTGACTCGGTCAGATGAAGGTGTCAGGTGTAGCCGTGCCATTGTAGACTTCCTTTACCCCGATCGCCATGCTAGCTTGTTAATGATGAGCAGTGTTGTACCGCATCACCCGCACGCGGCATCGACTACAGTAGGTTAAACCTAGCGGCGTGGCCCTCCGCGGGCCGTAGATCATCGATCGTAGCTGAACGTGTTGACACGTCATCAGCGTGTTAGTGCTGCACCTCGAGTCACACTTCTGGAGAGTTGGGGTTTGGGAGGCGAGAAGCATGTGCGTCCCACAAAACATGTGTGGTGATAATGCTTCAACCGGAGTTTTCCTTGCAGCAAGTGCGCCCACATATTCCGGTTAGTGGTAAGCAAAAGTCCTCGCACTATTTGATCTGATGACTTGTAGCAGTTCGTTGCTTTTTCAGTGTCTCTCCACATCAGAGCACGCCAAAGGACCGATTGTCTCTCTAGCTTGGTGGACGATTCCAGTCACTCTTGATGTCCTTAGGCTCTCATACGGAAGCCTCTCATTTACCAAGACTTTGAAAGGCCGATAACAACCGCAAATAAACACCACGTCATGACCGAAAGCTACGATATCGTTATTGTAGGTGCTGGCCCGGTAGGGCTCATGCTCTCAGCATGCCTCTTGCGCTTAGGGCCTTACAACATCAAGCACATTGACCAGCGGCCCGGGCCGACAGAGATTGGGCGCGCCGATGGAATCCAGGCACGGACTCTCGATGTGTTGCAGAATCTGGGTCTGAAACGAGCCATCATGTCTTATAATCCAGGCCGAATCTACGAGGTTGCATTCTGGGATGCTTCCAAGGACGGGACCGGTATTCGACGCACGGGAACTTCGAGGAGTTATCCCGAGTACATTGACACAAGATATCCATTTTCTACCATCATACACCAAGGCCGGATTGAGAAGATATTCTTGGATGATTTAAAGGATAGGAGACTCGAGATCGAGAGGTCCTGGACTATTGCAGGGTTTAGGAAAGACCCTTGCGGAGAGCAATCCGATCACCCACTGGTCGTGGACCTCGTCAGTGTGGACGGGAGAGAAAGTTCGACTGTACGAACAAAATACTTATTCGGTGCAGATGGAGCGCGAAGCCGGGTGAGAGATCTTCTTCGGGTACCGATGTTGTCGAAAGATCCAACGATGCATGTGTGGAGTGTTATTGACGGGGTGGTCAAGAGCGACTTTCCGGACATTCAGGTACATATTCATCCTTCTTGCAATGTCAATACACGCATTTTGGCTCGTTGAAACCACCAACTAACAATAAAACTTACTAGATGAAAACGACAGTCCGCTCATCCAAAGGCTCCGCTATGATAATTCCTCAAGGAAATAACCGAGTTCGTATTTATGTCCAGGTCTTTCCCAAGAATGGACAAGAACCTGTCGCATTTGCGACAGTGCCAAAAATCCAGCAGGCGGCAAATGATATTCTTGCCCCGTATAAAGTGGAATGGGAGGCAGTGGATTGGCACTCTGCATACCGAATCGGACAAGGGTTTGCCTCAAGATACTCTCTTGATGAGCGAGTTTTTATCGGAGGGGACGCATGTCATACGCACAGTGTAAGCACCTACAAACATTCAGATGATAGCTGCAATGTTTAAATTAACAGCACTCCTCCCTGTAGCCCAAAGCCGGTCAGGGGATGAACTACGGTTTCCTAGATGCACACAATCTTGCGTGGAAACTGCATCTGGTCGAAGCTGGCTTTCTCCGCCGCTCCATATTGAAAACTTATGAGGAGGAACGGAAGCGTGCAGCAGCAAAGCTGATTGAGTTTGATGCGACGTACGCGAACTTATTTAGCTCTTCACGACCCGCTGGCGAGAATAACGTTGCTCCGAGCTCTGAGTTCGTCCAAGTATTCAAACAGAATTCACTCTTGACAAGTGGCTACGGCGTCGAGTATCCAGCGAACAGCTTGACTTGGCCTTCAACAACTTCTTCAACCAGCACAACAGCTCTGCTGCCTGGTCACAGTTTTCCTACCGCAACCGTAACGAGAGTTATCGATGCTAATCCTGTCTACTTGGAACAGGAAATTCCCTTCAACGGTAGCTACCGGATATACATCTTCGCAGGAAAGCCTGTACTCACCTTGAAGACCATATTCGATCTCGCTGAACATTTGCAGTCCAAGGGTAGCATCTTTCGCCGATATCAGCGAAAGGATATTGATACCTCATACGAAGGAAGACATAATCCCCACTCCCCGTTTTTCACCTTTTCGCTTGTTTTTCATGCACCGCGGTCAAATATTGAAATTCAGGAGTGCCTTCCGGACTATTTCGCCTGCTATAGGTACCATCTTTACGCGGATGATCGTGAGTTGTCGCAGAGAGGTGAAGCCGCAGAGGAGAACGCCCACGTCAAGATGGGCTTCGATGTAGAGAAGGGTGGTATAGTTGTTGTGCGCCCCGACGGGTACGTTGGATGTATCCTAGAGCTTATTGATGGAAGAGCGAGTGCTTTAGCTTTGGATAGGTATTTTGAGGCAATCGTGCCAGGAAGTGAGCATGATGCTGTGGCGGCAAGGCTGTAATGCTATACACAAAGTTGAAAGGAGAGTTACATAAGAGATACTTTGGAATGAGCATCTACAAAGAAAATCCTTTTATCACCTATTCCATTAGAGACCAGCATTGAAATAAGTAGTGCATATTATACACAGATAATATATCATGATAAACATTTACTAGCTGGCAAGATTAACCTTATGCTATGATATTTATGATAAAAGTGGTACATGATAAGATCCTAAATAAAAGAGCATGATCTTAATCCCACGATGTGTGATAAAGATAAGCCCAGCTGAGTAAAGCTAATAAAAGTAATACAGGATTACAAAATCCCCCAACATCAGCAATACATAGTCCGTTCTGATGTCTGCCAAGAGCATGAAAGTATTCATCGAATACTCTCCACTAAAACATACTCAAAAGCAAATACATCCACAGGCCGAGCTGAAACCGATCGTCGGTTTCCGACGTACATAAACCAGAAAAAAATAGAAAGCCTGAAGCGAGCCTTGGAGCCATGTGCAACGATCTGCGAATGTACAGGCCATATCTCCTCAACATTATTATGGTGTTGGTGACCTGAGTAAGGATGTCTAGGTTACGCAAGACAATGAGATGAGATGCTAAGCCCGAAATGACCCCTTTGCATATGCAACAAAGTGGCAACATGCATCTCAAATGACGATCATCGCTGGTCACGCACTGCTTTACGGTAAAGAGAATTGCTTTTTGATCTGTATGTGGCGATTAGATCGGCTACTAGGCTCGGAGGGCTCGGCCGTTCTGCATGGCGCTGGATCCCTGGACGCTGATCACCTGCCTCTAGTAATTTCTTACAATACAGTTATGCGGTGGGGGATAACAATGAATATCAAAAACACAACAGAATCCGAGATTGCACTGGTAGGCTTCAGCTTTGAATGAACAGCATGTGAATAAGTGGTTCATCTTCATGAAGAAAACGCACAAGTCCTCTTCTTCATATTTCTCTCCGTGTGAGTGGGATTGTATTGAGGATAATTGGCCACTATCTTTATCCTATTTGGATACAGAAGTGAACTCAGAATTTAAGCAATCTTGAAGGCCGAAACCATGACACTTCTCCTCCAGGGCTGCTTACATTACTCGAGTTGCGATTCCATCTGCCGTCAATCTTCAATTAGGTAAAAGTGTACGTCGATGGGGAAGTCCGTCGTGGCAATTATATACTGAAAGCACTTTGCTTAGGAGCGAAGGCAGTACTAGTGGGCGGTCTTTTCTTTACTATCTTGCTTACGGATAGAATGGGCCTAAGCATTTGATTGACAGTGAGTCGATTTCATACTCCGTAGGTTACATGGATAGTGTTGGCTTTGGATTGAATTTGAAGTTCTACAAGCTGAGCTCGAGATGGCCATGAGATTGGTTGGGATCACGGATCCTTCGCAGACAAACCGGGCCTTTGTTAATACGCAGGACCTTGGCCATTTAGTCATGCAAGATGTGGGGACTACTGATTCTCTTGAAGTGGTACGTGCAAGGATATAAGTTGAAGATGCTAGAATCTGAATATAGAACTGCTAGTATCTATTATCTTTGATTCTCTGATGAAAGCAAGCCGACCATTCTGGATAATTCACGGTGCAGGTTCTCGCAGGTTAAAGGGCCCTATCAGATAAATTTTTATGATAACTACACTATGAAATGGCACCGTCCATCTGAGCCAATCCAGACAACTAAGCTAACCGATACTTAACTTGAATCTATGGCAACATCATCGTAAACACCTTCGTTCTCCGCCGATCGATCTCCTTGATAACCCCCTCGCCATAGTCAGCCCATTTCTCAAATACCTGTCCCACCAAATACTCAATCCTGTCCTCTTCCTCTTCACTCAAACTCTCTTCAAAACTTTCTTTTACCGACGAAGCCTTTTCCCTCCAAACCTTAAGCTGCTCCTTATCGCCCTGAATTTCACATGTCCGAGCGACCGCTTCTATGGCCTCGAGAGCTGGTAAAGAATTCTCCTCCGTCAACTTAGTCCACGTCTCCACAGCACGACGTTGCATAGCACTACCCTTCATCAATTCAGGGCCACCCTGCGATACAAGAATACTAGCCAGAATAGCCGAGGCACGAACTGACTCTGGACTATTCTCGTCAGTACTATCGGTAATCGTCTTCAACGCCTGGCGTGAAAGTGCTTCTGCCGTCGTGTGATCTCCTAATCCCTCGTATGCCCGAGCAAGCCCAATATCCAGTTGAGCTATCATCATCCGCTCGGGCACGGTATCCTGTCGCACTCGTTGCAAGTAGCGGTCTTTGCACTCAAGACTAAGGACCAACGCATCCATAAAGTTGCCCTGTAAATTAAGCGTATCTCGGAGACGCAAAGAGGTCCACAGTGTGCGCATGTCCATCGTCCCTAGCAGCTGGGCTAAGATAGATTTCGTCTTCTCGTAAATATGCTGTGATTGTTGCCAGCATCCTGCTCTGCTCAATACCATGGCAACATCTTCAATAATAGATACTGTCCTGAGGAGAGAGGACGCAGTGGTCTTCTCGATGCCCCAGGCATCTTCGTACTCCTTGCTCAAAATGTCAACCACAAGCGAGCCCGCCGAGCGATATCGCCCCATTTCCATATAGGCCAAAGCAAGGTTCGTGCGGCAGCGTGCCAAGATATCTTCACGAGGCTCTGCTTGCCTCTGCAGTTTCCCCGCTGCCTCATTAGCCATGCTTAAGGCGGCAGAGTATCGCCCTTGCTCAAGGGAAACTGATGAGCACCGGACCATCACATCCGATTCCAGCCATTCCATCTGGCTGCGCCCACGAAGTATGTTCAGCGCTTCCTGATACTGTTCTTCTGCCTCGGCAACCTTTCCAAGCACTCTGTAGACAAAGCCAAGCGTCCGGAAGCCCGACTGGGCTACATATGGCAGGGTCTTAGCTCGTGGTCTGACCAGTCGCACAGCATCGCGTGCCATACGCTCTGCCACGTGAAGATATTCGCACCGGTCAATCCCGCAGTCCGCAAATCCATCTGCGATGTTTATCATGCGGTCAAGGTTGTCACTGTGGTTCACATCCTCAGCCTCAAAAGGGTACTCAAGCTTAGTGTACAGGTTTGGCATTGCCTCAGCATGCCGTCCTTGCTTGACGAGATTCAATCCGAGCTCGTACTGACTCAGACAAGCGGGTACACTCTCACGGCCTAGACGACGCTGGTTAATTTGTGCGACCTTTGTCCTAAGGGGCTGCGCCGCTAGGCACATATCCCATTCCTCATAAAACTCAGCCAGTTTCCTCATAATGACAACGGTCAGCTCCTGATCACCCGCCTGTCGAATGTAAGACTTCAGTAGCTGAACCAAGAGAGGCTCAGCTTCCGCATATCGCTTTAGGGTGACCAATGCTTGAGTCAATCCCGTGATCGTGTCGATCTGTAAGGAAGAACCTGCTGTCTGTGAATCTTGCATCAGTGCCAGAGCTTTGTGAAACACATCAACAGCAGCAGCTGGTCTGCCTAGATCCTGTAGGAGGCCCCCAGAGTGAACCATGGTCATAATTTCACCATTCTCCTGGTGTTCACCGCCGCCAGGATGCGCTTTCGAGATCTCTGCATTCAATTCCAAGGCTTCCTCCACTCTCCCTGATACTCGGTATACCCAGGACAAGTTAAGCTTGTCAGTTAGTGCAGGTGAGCTCATTGGCCCATAAACCTGTTCGTATCTGGAAAGCGTCTCCTTTAGGACTGTTTCTGCTTCTGTATATAGACCCTCCCAAATGTAGGACATGGCAAGAAGGGATTTGCACGCGAGCACAAGAGGATGGTCAGAAGGGTATATCTCAAGACGGGTTTGCAGTGCCTGAAGGAAAAATTCATGAACCCCAACTAGCGTCCCGGTTTCTATTCGAAGGAAGCCAAGGACTTCATATTTATACGCCTGCAGGGCCGGACTGGGATGAATCTCGTCAAGACATTCCAATGCCTTACTTCCCAGCTCTTTTGCTTCCTTTATGTCATTCTTCGCATACAAAGCCGCTGCAGCCTCTATCATAGCTTGGATAGTGCATTCCTGCTGCATGCCAAAAATCCACTCTCTTAATACGAAGGCCTGCATCGACCATCTGACTGCGTCATGGAGGCGCTGGGACGTGGAGCAAGTCCTCATCAGCTTTTGCATCAGAGCTGCAGCGCAATCACCACATGGGACGGTCTTAGGTGCATGGTCTTTAAGTTCCTTTTGGGAAATAAATGGCGGTGGGATATCCTCCCCATCAGTGCACTGTATTACATCGGACTGCAGAAGTGCAATTGCGTGTGGCATGCAGGCAACACAGCTATCCGCGACTCGCCATCCCAGTTCATCAAAGCTTGGGAATTTATTACTCACAATCTTGAGTGTCGTCGCTGTCCATTGCCCCAGTTGGTCATTTTGACCCAGCCATTTATGTATGGCTAGCCGCACTAATCGGTGCATGTCATATTCGGCGTCGGCTTTGGTCGTTCCCGCCTTGGACGCTCTGGGGGTAATCAATGAAAAAGCCTGCAATGTTCCCAAAGCCTTAACCAGGTCTGGCGAGAGCTTATCCGACTCGACAACGAGAAATATGGGAATAGCCTGTGAATCAAGAAGGGACATTTTTCTCAGTAATTCACCGGCAATAGGGAATGTGCGGTCAATGTATTCAAAGGAGATGAACCATGTCGTCGCGATTGGATTCTTGTTACTACCCTTATCCCGGATACCATCCTCGAACTCCTCGCTCAGCAGGTCCATCTTCCACTGTGGACTTTCACGATACATGTGCAGATACTCATTTGCATCAATACCATTATGCTGCATAAATGCCGCGGCCTGAACAATGGCGAGAGGGACACCTAAAAGCTCCTCAACTAAGTCTTTTGCAGCGTCCGGGTCTTGTTGGCTTTCCAACTTGCTGGCCAGAAGCTCTTGACCATGAGGAGTATCCAGACGGTCCAGTAATACTAATCTGGATGGCGATCCGGCAAAGTCGAGTCCAACACGTTTGTCACGCGTCGTTAGCAGTATGGACCCGTTGCCAGAGCGTGGCAGCAGGTCCGCTAGACGATCTGATCCATACCACACGCTGTGGTCGTCGGCATTGTCAAGTACAATGAGCCACCGCCTGCTCGCATCGCTTTCAAACCACTCGGTGACCATGTATGCACTGTCTCGATCGCTGGCTTTGTACCCGACAATAGAGACCTTTTGGGCGATTTTATCGTACGCTTGCAGAAATCGCGCCTTTGTCGACGCGTGTATCCAGAACACCGAAACGTCTGAGTTCTGGAAGTGAAGGGCATACTCGACGGCAATTCGAGTTTTCCTGTTCCGCTTCATTAACCTTATTGCAGCATGATCCCCGATTTGAATGTTAGCTTACCCCATACCCCCAAGGCCCACAAGCGCGAAGCGACTTTCTGTGCTCAATTTGACTCGCATTGTTTCCATCACCTCATTTCGACCAACAAATCTGTCATCTCTACGAATGTCCATCATGAACACGGCCGTAGAGCTCCTGCAGCTGCCAGCAGCTGTATTGACAGTCGTACTCATGGCGTCTGTTGCCCAATGCTGTAGGAACGCTTTTGTGCACGAAGCCGCTGTGGCTGCTGCGTAATCCTGCCAAAGCTTGTTCTTGTGCGAATCTGCATAGTCGCAGACGCCTTTGATGACGAGGCTGGGGAAGAAGCTGCAGACACCGGTGCCTTCAATTTCCAGACCAATGATTCCTTCGCGCTGGGCGAGTTCGTCACGGTGCTTACCAGACTTCATGACGGTACTGCCAGAGCCCATCCGACCCAGGTGAATAGCTAGCGAAGGCCCTGTTTTGGCTCGGTCTGAGCCTTCCGGGGTTTCCGAACATGTAACAGTCCTTTCCCTACGCGCCAGATTATGCTCGTCACACCCGAGCTCACTGCAGGAAGCCCTGATCGCATCGGCGCATACATTCTCGTCGGAGCACTCGCTACAGGTGGATGGATCACGGTGACGGTGAAGATATGATGGTTGGAAGAGTCGGTCCGACTCACCACCAGGATACTGGTACTTAGGCCGGTGCTGCAGCGTCTGAAGCCAGGTGCTCGCTTCTTCCTCGAGGCGTTGATGATGGTGGTCGGTTTCCAGCTTTCGCAGAATAGATTGGATAGGTAAGGGAGGTACACCGCCTCCAGCCCCCTCAGTCTGGGCGTACTTTGGCTCGAAGCCACTTGGATACTGTCGTCCAAAATCGTACTCCACCACTGCTTGGCTGAGGACCACGTCCCCAAGAAAGATATCCCGCTGTCTATGGGGATCCATTGGAATCCCACCGCAGATTCCTACGACCAAGGCAAGTTCAATGCTTGGAAAGCTGGTGCGCAGACCCATAGCTACCCCAGCCGCGCTAACCTTGCCCATATGCGGCATATGCGCGACCACAACATTGTGCGCGCCGATAACACCAGTAGTGTACGCATTGGGATCTCCTGGAGCTTTGCTGTACACTTCGTCTGTATCCTCCCAGTGATGGTCGAAAAGCGCGATCACTGCATCTGCTTCCCGGGGAAGAGCACAGATAATGGCGATCCTGAAGCCATGACGGTCGCGAGGAGGACGGGTCACCAGAGTCATATCCTCTGCATGGGGAAGATGTTAGATGAGTTGCTGTATAGGAGGTTTGATCAATGTTCTTTCGTCTGCAAGGGAGTGATGTGTGGGGATCATTGACAATAGATGCAGGGAAGCAGAATAGATCCATTGTTGATCGTATCGAGGGGCAGGCGAGGCTGAGTGATTTAGCGCACGAGGGTCCCACCACTCAATGAACTAAGCTGTCAGCCGAACGAGATCGGCGCGGAATCTTCTATAGCACCAATCAAAGCCACTAGATGTTTCGGCAGCACCTCAACAAATGTCTCGTCGGGTTATGAGCGAATAGGAGTGAAGGAACCAATAGAAATAGCGGGTAGCTGGTCACAGTCCATGCATTTGAATGGCGGTTCAATCGTAAGCGATCTATTCCATAGTAGGTCCACAATCCCCTGAGTGGGCATTGTTATATACTCCTCACCCCATTCCCTGCACTGCAATACTCACCATTTCAACGTTATCGGCAATACCGAGTTAGTTGTGACGCCATTTCCGACATCAGGCTCTTGGCTGCAACACAAAGTGCGTCGGTCTCGTCTTACTCGAGAATTATCAGCCAGTCTCACGTAGGATCGTCCAGTTGAAAAATTGCTCAAGGGAAACGCGGATTCAATAGTAAAGCCAGCGCATAAGTCATCCTGGGGCTTCTAAAGGTGCCTTCGATCAATCTCGATGGATAACGAGAAGGGTGTGTGGTTTCGGTATTATTGAATCTGTCTGATGATCAGAAGAGGCGTTAGCATAATATGGAAATGGAGGTACAATATCACTCTGTAGATATAGGATATTCGCTATGCAGGTTATCGGACCGAGGCCCTTTCAGTTTCTCTGTTTATTCACCTCTACATCGTGTAGACTGACAGACCATCTAGCGTAATGCAGAAGATATTGTGAAGTAGGATGGTTGTGAGGCGGTAGCGACAGCAAGGAACTTGTAGTATAGTAGTTTGTCCTGCAATGCAAGTCACCTGCCTTGAACATAGCCAAATTTGGCAGGCGCGAAACGAGTATGTTGGACGGCAAATGTGACTACCAGCAATAAATCACAGCTTTCTCTACCATCAACAATTCAATGAAACTTAGCCTGACCAACAACCCCCTCTGCACACCACAAATTAATACATCGCCCACCCCCCACTCGCACAAATAACCTGCCCAGTAACCCACGAAGCATCCCTCCCCGCCAACCAAGCCACCACACTACCAATTTCCCCCACGGACCCCAACCTCTGCTCCACCGGCGTGGTAGCCTTCTGCGCCTCCACAATCTCCTTCGGAATCCTATCCAGCAGGTCACTCGGCACCGGCCCCGGCGCCACAGCGTTAACCGTTGTCCCATTTCCACCCAACTCCGCCGCCCAGGCGCGCGTGAATCCCTCAATCGCCGCCTTGGACGCAATATACAGACTTATCCCCTTGAAACCGTACCGCGCACCAACCGAACTCAAGTTGATTATCCGGCCATGACCCTCGGGTGGGAGATACGGCAGCACGGCCTGCGTCATGAGCAGGGTACCGCGGACGTTGAGGTTGAAGACTTTGTCGTAGTTTTCTATGGTGGTTTCGGTAAGGTGGTTAACGATTTCGATGCCAGCGTTGTTGACTAGGATGTTGATTTTGAGGGGAGTGGGGGCGGTTTGGGTTTTGAGTTGGGAAATTAGATCCGAGGCGCCGGTGGGTGTGGAGAGGTCGGCTTGGATGGTCCATGTTCTAGGAGCGTGGGGAAGTTGGGTGATTTTTGTGCGGAGGTCGGTCATGGCTTGGGCGCTGGTGGGAGAGACGTAGGTCATACAGACCTAGGATGTTTTAGCAATTTTAAGGGAGAGAGAAGATTGTGTATATGCAGTGGCTTACATTTGCGCCACGACGTGCAAGTTCCCATGCGATGCTGGCTCCGATGCCGCGGGATGCGCCCGTGACGATGGCGAGCTTATTGTGAAGTGGGAGGGTAAATTCGGACGTAGAGGAATCCATGTTTTACGAGGGGAGGAAGGAGCTTTTATGAAGTAGTCAGTCATGAGTTGTTGAATTAATTGACCTTGTGTCGTTGAGGCATATATAGTAGGACATTCAATTTATATCAGACAACGGCTTACGCTGTTCCGTGATGTCATTCCTCGGGTATAGGACATAAGTCAGTAAACCCGAAGCCACAATCCCATAGACTCATCCATTATGCATGAGCCAAGCGGGTGCTATCGATCAGGCTTACTGCAGCGGTTGAGCTATGTCAAGGTGGATCTGGGGAGACGATCAGTTTATAATAGTATTGTCTTTCCTTATTGCACAGTAGCGTTGCTGCCCCCCTCCATTACGTGACCCAGCATGCCAATACTAGATCGAAGTTAAGACGAGAATGCGACGAGAAGTCGAGGAGAGACGTAAGCACCAAATAGGTCTACATTGTACAGAATCCCAAGTGTCTAGTTCACGTGGGCGCTGGAAGAGTTTCAGGTCGTCAATTGCATTGCTAGTCACACCCAATACGAACAAAATTCAAGCCAATGCAGAACCAACATATAATGTCGAGCTAATCACATAGGGTCATTGATTCATTCGTGTCCTCTGGTCGTAGCAGACCCCAGACCGACAGGCCACATCATCGTCGTAAGCATTTCCGTGTCGCGATAGGGAGTCCTTCCTCAACATTTACAGAATGTCGCAGGTTCCAGACACCTGTGTCTGTGGGGGACTGACAGGAACAGTCACCTCACCAACTACCACAGTGCTGCTGCCGTCAATTCCCTGGAAAGTGCAGAATCCGCCTCCGACTGAGGAAATCTTGGTAATTGACAGTTGGTTGGCTGTTAATAAGAATGTTAGAGACCCTCATTCATGTCAAGCAGATAAGATTATGTAGACTAAAGACATACTGATTGCATGGGTGCTGTCGTCAGCTGGGAAGTTTTGAGAGAATGAGGAACCGTCGGCACCCCAGAAGGTGATGGCGACTTCGAAGGCTGAGTTATCGGTGGGAGCAGCGCTGGCCAGAGCAGCAAAGGTAGAGCAGGCCGCAGTGATAAAGGTGGTCTTCATTTTGATGGGATGACTTTAATGATTTGGTATGAGATGTTTTGCAGAGGCTTCTTGTCAATGTGGTGATGAGAAGATGATGCTGGTAAGAGGGATGTGATTTCTTCACGAGTGATGGGGAGAGACGGGGGAATTTATATGTCCTGAGTCGCTCTTGCTCGTTCGATGCAATCTCACACCGCTTGATTCCATACAATGACTCCCTCTCTAGATGTACTCGTGGTTTCCCAATTGGGCATGCCAAAAATAGGCATCTACAGGTCTGATGCATTGATGTCATAGGACCGGGTGCCACGGAAAGATCGCC